GCCAAAAATAACCTCACGCAGTTCAAGGTTACAATGTACATTGTGGTAAATAAATCTACGGTAACCAAAGTGAGCCTGGCATAATGTAAAAACGAATATTAGCCTTGTTAGCATGTTTTATGATAACAAGTAGAGTTAGCTAACTTGCCCAACACTAATTAGCTTTAATCTCACAAATAAGGCTAAAAGGTTAAAAGAGTTGCACACTATTATGTACAAAACTGATGAAAATATCTTTATACGTTGTTCAGATGACAGTGAAACCTCCTACAGATTCAGCCCAGACTGCTGCTGCTGTGAGATGTCCTTCACCTACATCATCGCCGCCATTTTGGCGCCCCCTAGCGTTTCTATGTGGAAGTGAAAAGGTGCCACTTCAAAGCCGTTTTTTTACATAATTCATCTGAACATGTCAAAATGAACACCCAAAATATTATAAACACATATTGTAGTTATATATTCTGGATAGCAGCATATTAAATTCTAGTTCTACTTTAAGTTAAGTTTTTCAAAAGTAATGAAGCAAGGTCTTCACTGTGACCACAACGGGGCGTCACACCGCCCAGTTAGCGTTCTGTGTTTATTTAAATGAACTTCAAATCACTACAGCCACAAGAGACTGCAGCACTACAGCAGCTGGTGTGTCAAAACCAGTGGGGGCAGGTCCCGGCTCCAAAAGGTCCATGAGCACGTGTCCTGCCTGACCTACTTGCAATCTCATTCCAGTAGGTTCCAGTTGGACCCAGAAAAAGAATTATCCAATGTTTTTGTATAGCATCTTCGTTCCTCTCGAAAACGTCTAGAAGTCTGCTCTTGGCCCGACGCTATGTTCCAGATGTGTGTCAATGCTGAGTATATTTTCTCGGACCAGTGTAGTTTAGACGCTGTGGACTTTTGATTGCACTCATTAAAAGAATGGGGCACATGCCGGTTAACACATGCGCAGATGCGTTTGTTTCAAAATATTCCTACCCCGAGGCCATTTTGAAACTGCCCACAGAAAGCGAAAGTGGTGGCACATTGGTTTCAACAGCGGAGATAGGAACAACTACGACCGTTAACATTTACAGTCTATGGTCAGACCAGAAAAAAAACACCAAGAGATTTCAGTCTATGGAGTGCAGTGTGAGCCAGGCATTATTCTCACATTTGGGAAAAAAATCATACATAGTGAAATATTGTATACATTTTTTATTTGCAAAAAAGACAATTTAAATAAAAGAACACAGGATCATTTGGGAGTGAGGTTAAAATATTAAAGCATGTTAAAGGTGACATATTATACAAGATCATGTACTAATGTTTATTATGCTTTCACAACAATATATAGATATACGTGAAAAAAGTGAAAGCTTTTTTCTAAACTGCATCTTTTGTTGGCACACTTTTACGATTGGATAATATGTCACCTTTAAATTCAACATCTGGATTCTCTTCTTTCAACATGGCCGACAAATACTGTCCAGCAAACAGTATTTCAACCAACAAACCCTCTGAAATAGTAATTCATGGGCTCAGTGCAAGCAATATGGCTGCGTAAACATTAAATACAAATTATAAACACCATTCTTCATATTCTCTATATCTTCTTTTTTGCACGTCACGCTCACTGAGAATTAAGTGCAAACCGTCTGTATTCAAATGCTTATTATTACTGATTGTTTGTAGTCCACACATAAAGAATTTGTGTCAAAACTGTTAGACCATCATGATTTACACTGCACCGAAAGCATATCTGCATAACTTCAGTTGTAAAAATGTAATTAGTATTATTCAATTTTTCAAAGACTTTTTGGCGTGGTATTTCTGACTGGGATATATTCTAGTAAGTATTTTTATAGAATACATTTATGCCTCTGACTCCACACAGTGATAGTGGGGCCATACAGTAAGTAAATGCCGGCTCTATTGCACATGTTTGGTTTTTTTTGGTAGGGAAAACCGGAGCGCTTGGAGGAAACCTAGACAGCCACAGTGGAGAAAATGCTAACTCCATTGACATTTTTTTCTATACTTCAAGAGTCTTGTAAAAGTTCAAACTTCTGTGAACAAATCAGAAAAGTCAAATTTATATCTTGTCCTTCCCTCATCTAAGATTGATCCCTGTGAGTCACTATTTGACACTTTTGGCTGAGTAAGTAAGTAATGTTTATTTATATAGCGCATTTTACATCATCCAAAGCGCTTTACAATGTTCAGAGTTCAGATATTGTTCCAATCATTCCACACACGGTGATGACGGAGCATCAGCCCCCAATCAACACCATCCATTCATTCTCTCATTTACATTCATACCTATTGTGCATGTTTTTAGTGGTAGGGGAAACCGGAGCACCCGGAGGAAACCTACGCAGACACGGGGAGAAAATGCAAACTCCACTCAGAAAGGCCCTGTTCCGACCGGGATTCGAACCCAGGACCTTCTTGCTGAGAAGCGAGTAATATCCACCCAAACCACCGTGAGTGTGGGTGATCTTCTAATTATTCCCTTTTCTTCAGCTGGAAATTTGATTTTATTATTTTTGGTTTCAATGTTAGGTCAACTAGCTTTACGTTTACATTTTTGTTCATGTTTAAATTATTTTTTGTTTTACAATGCAGGGCCACACACTATACTTCCAAGGACGTGTACGCGGAATCCCTGCATTTTCCTATACATTATTTTTTTTAAGCCAATTGATGAAATATAAGCACAGACAGGTGTTTTAGTGAAAGAAGACACAGATTAATCCAGTCAGAAACATTGAAACAAATCAATTAAAGTAAAATTTGTGAAGTAAAAATGACCTCCTGAGTTGAAGTGATGCAGATATTTTTTTCCCGGTGCAGCTTCCACTCGGAGATGGGCGTGTGTACTTGTGCACTTGATGTGGAATAGAGAGATTGAAGAGAAAGAAGCGTTTGTGCAGAGTCCACCGTGTCGTGGTCCAAGCCTCTTCTTCAATCCGCTCGCTCTGATCAGAGTCTGTAAGTCGTCCGTACAAAAACACACTCGCCGACACAGTGAGGAGGACGCCGCAGTAGTACTGTCTCATCTGCACCAGTGGAAAGGATTCTGAATATTACTATTGTGTCAAGGTACTTTTTAAATAGAATTACCTATACAAACAAAACATTATTATTAGTGAAATCTTCTGTGACAAATAGATGTATTCAAAACCAGAACATAGTCTTTACCTGCAATACTTGAATTTAACACATAATACTTCTTCTTTAGGTAAATCCTATTTTCAGACATTCAAAATAGACTTCAAGACGTAAACTGGTTACTGAACATGGTAGATATTTCAAACTTTTTTTTTTACATGTTTGGTACCTTCAGGAGTGCAATTTTTGTATTAACTATAATATAATATTGCTAGATCTCAGGAGTTGAGTAGTGTGGTTAGTGCTTATGTATTCAGTGCTTTTCTACCTTTTCCTATCAAAAGAACCAATCACCCATTCACGCACATATTCAGACATAAACAGGGTTAGGTGTCTTGCCCAAGGACAACGACAGCATTCACTACCGTTCAACCAAGAATCTTTATGTCAGGAGCACTATAGGAACCTCCAACCTTCCACCTTTTTTCTACCACCCATTAGAATCTCGCTCCTGACATAAACATTAATTGGTTTAGCGGTAGAATAGCCAGAGCCGCAGGTTGGCAGATATTAAACCATCTCCGGTTGGTGAATGCTGTCGTGTGTCCTTGGGCAAGATACCAACTGTGTGTCTGTGTGCGCTGTATGAATGTGTGTGTGAATGAGTAAGTGGTTCCTTGATGTGAAGCACTTTGAGCGCCTTGAAAAGATAGAAAGGCGCTCTATAAATGTGACAATTTTCCATTTAGTGGTATGAGACTGAGTATGTGAGTGAATAATTGGTGTGGTCAGTGCGGCTGATGGCACAGTTCAGCCGGTTCTGGTCAGGGGCAGATGGATGTACAGTATATAAGGGTTTCCATATATACAAATTGTGCTGTACAAATAAAACCACAAGAATAGTAATTATACTGTACTGTACATGAAAACATAAAAAGTACCTGGACACAACCTGCACAAACTTACCAGATAATTAATAGTCATAAAAGCCAAAAAGTAAGACATTTTTTCAGTGTACTCCTATAAAATCCATTCAAAACTCTGCAAATCAGCATTCAGAATTCAGACCCAACTTGTGCAGACAATTCTTTCGCAGCGATTCTTTTGTAAAACCCAGGGAAAGGCATGTACAGCCACATTACATAATATTTCCACATGTAAAAACAAAAACAAGTCACTTCACCATCCAAAAAAACATTGCCTTGTGTAATAAAAGTGATGGTATCTTGATAATAACTAATACGTTACGGCAAGTCTTTTTTGTGTCTGTGTAGTTGAGTGTTTCAAAAATTGGTACAAAACATTGAATAATATAGTTTTCAGATTCAGAAGCTCATGTATGCATTCTACATGAACAATCTGCTACTCTGGTGCCAAGAGAGGAAGTACTTTAAAGGTGATATCACTGAGTTCAAGTGTATTTCATTTTTAAAATAATGTGTTTTTTTTGACCAAGGAACACTGTACTATCATCTAAAGGAAGTCATTTTCAATAATAATGTAATAAAAATGCCCACCATTAGCATACCTACCACTAGTAATATTAGCTGGAGGAGCATAGTTAAACCAGTGATAAGGGGCCTTAAGGATTTGAATTAATTTTGACCAATAAGGAAGCATGTTGGCCAGACCAGTGTTTGGCTATACAAAAAGTCTCCCTCTATTGTCTTGGATTGAAAAGAAACTGACTTTCACTTTAAGCAGTAAATTATACAGTCCCATTCCCAATACTGAAATTACATCATCATCAAGTTCCATAACTTTAACACAACCGACCACATGATGAAGTGACAATTTGATCTCTGGCTTTACCCAACGCGTTACTACATGATGTGGCTGAACGAGGCAAGTGGCGAGTGCGCGGGGCGAGTCTTTGGGAGGAGGGCGTTTGGTGTGTGCACAGTCTTCACAGTCTACACAAATGAGGAGAATCCCGTGACGGGGGTCCGAGAGCCTGCAGGGGGGTTGTTGCAGTTGTTGTTATTGGGCAGCGTGTGTGCCGGCTGACCACTGGGGGTGTAAGCTCCCCCCGCGCTGTGCTGAGTCACCACAGTCTGGTAGTAGGGCTCCTTGTCCCGCTCCTCGAAAGGGAAGGAGGGGGGGCCGGCGCTCTTGACCCCCTTGGGCTGCCGCTTCCACGAGTTGTAGTAGGTGGGGTCGCTCATGTAGTGGTTGACGAACGAGTGCTTGGGCTGCTCCTCTTCGTAGTCGCTGTCGGTGAGCTGGAGAAGGCAAGGCAAGTTTGATTGTATAGCACACACAACATACGTTTAAAATAAATGTGTATAAATGAAAATAAAATGTATCGTTTTTTTCAGCTAAAATACAGAACTTTCACTTTTAAGGACTTTTTACTGTTGTGTTTATGTTGGGAAGTGGTGGAATTCATGCACTGGGAATAAGTATTTTCATATTGATGATATTATGGAAATTATAATACAAAATTTAATGACTATTCATTCTGATTAAGTAAGTAATCAGAACTAAGTATTCAGAGTAATATAATTGAGAAACTGTATTTGGCATACATTACTTTTTATTCACAATCCAATACCGCATTTCTTTCAAAAAAATGAGGGAGTACATTTGGGTGTTCGATCATTGCTTTATCTGTGCACCACATGTTAGCCAGAGGTTGACCAGATGCTAAATGTGTCCCACTACTGGTTTCATACATGATATTTCAGTTCCAGAAATGCAATATATTTTACACAAATGGCCCGTAGTTGAATTGCCATATTTGGACCACTTATCGTGTGCCAAATGCGGCCCGCTTCTGCTTGAGATGTGTTTCATATGGGCCAAAACGAAGCCATAAGACCCATGTTTTAGCAGGCCAAATGTGAATCTGTGTAGAGCCTGAATGTGTGCTTTACTTCTGCTTACTGCTTTTGTTCTGTGAATGAAGTCTAGTCATAAGCACTGATGCATGGTACCACTTTTGTTGTTGTATCCATCCATCCTCAAATAAACCACATGAATAAATAGCCGCTAGAAGGCGAGCAGTGGCAGCTCATCAGCAGCTGTGGGCAGCCGCAGTGCAGCTCCGGGGCTTCTCATCATCTGACTTATGATGGCTAATTACCTGGCCTATCAGCGTGAAGCAAACACTGTCATAACATCTCCTGTATATGAACCTGTTTCGCACCAAGTGATGACTCAATACTTTATCTTCACAAGTAAACCAATTAGTTTCAAAACAGTTCAACCATATATGACCGTGTTGATATTTTGTTGTTGTTGGAGGATTAATGAAAGCATGGAGTTTATGTAATGCACTAGGACAGAAAAAACACACTTTTTCATTGCCATTTTTTTATTGTACATAAGTATATCGTACAAAAACTATATTGTAACCTTAAGATATTTGCACACTTTTGTAAAATCGAGTGATTTTATTTATGCCAAATGTGACATGTCAATTTCTCCAGTGTGAGATAAATAAAGTCTATCTTATCTCATCTTATGTGACACCAACTGTTCATTAATGCGCACTGTCCCGGTCACTGACCCAGGACTTTCCACACTGATCAAATGTGATCCAGGACACTCAACTCCACATTCAACAACATTTATCATCATTTATAGACATTGGTCATCTGCCCCCTATGGACCAATGTGTTTTTTTATTGTTGCATTTCTTGTGTTGAACTGTTCTGTGTTGGCGAATGCAACGGTTTTGTTGAGGGCTCCAAAATAACTGTGCTTGAGATTTAGGGCTATACAAGAATAAATTGTATTGAATTAAAATGAAATGAAATGAAATATTTACAAAACTACAGTAATATATATGCCAGATGACACCAAGGCTGAGTGGGTTGTACTCATGCCTCACAGCAAGGAGGGTTCTCCTGATTGCACACGCAGGAAAACTTAGTAACTTTTTAGATGGGGCATTTCACAGACCAGGGTTCCACAATTCACAGTTCGTTGTAAGAGAACACACTAATAGACCGACAGATGTCATGTGCATGTAATATTTGTTTGTGAAAGTAGATGACGTTGCAAGGCCTAGGTGTGCGTCCCATGCCTGGTGGTGTACCTCGGACTCGGAGGCCTCGGTGGGTTTCTCGGTCAGTGTGGTACTCTCTGTCAGAGCTGTCCCGTTGTAGTTGTTACAGATGTCCTCATCAGAGTAGTGCAGCACGCCTGGACTGGGCCTGGGAGGAGACCTGTGCATAACACCACACTTTAAGTCTGCTCATTCTGAAGCACAGCGAATAAACTGAGTCTGAAATAATACCTGTTTTGAAAATAAGTGACATTTTTGCGTTTGCATTGAGAATCAGCGTATGGAGAGAAATTTATTCAAACCACATTTTGTAGACTATTGACAAACAAACTAATATTTTAATACTAATTCAGAATTGCATTAAACAATCTTTTCTGCCTTGCATGAAAGGACAACTGTATTATTTGCTTGATATCGTTGTGTTGCCTCTCTTTGGCTTTGTTTGCGTAAAATTTGTAAAAACAAAAATAACGAAAGAGAAAGAGACTCACACAAGAGTGGCTCTGGTACCGTTCTTCTTGAGGAAAGAGTTTTTAGAGTTGAGGGTCCGGCTGTTGAGCTCCAGTGCAGTGAAGCCCCCATTGTCCAGAGTGACCGACTCATCAGCGGGGGACAGGTGCTTTCCTGAGAGAGTGTGCACATTTTCAATATAAGTACAACTAGAGATACAAATCAACACTCATATTTGAAGGTAAATCAAAACATGCTAAACGAAGAGATAAGATCAGAAAATATAGATTTGCTTGTGGACTAGTTGGGACTATGGGAACAAAAAAGCTATTTCTAAGTCTAATTAAGTCTGAATTGACTAGATTATACAGTATTTATTAGTTGTATACATAGTAAAGTTTATCACATTGCCATATCAAGTATCAGAGTCAAGAGAGAAGTATTGGGCTCTGTCTGATTTCTTTATCTTATTTTATTTCATCCATCAACATTACTGTAAACGTGCCAGTATTAGCTATACAGCTAGTTTCCAAATGCAGTCCCTAGGCAAGGTATCAACATAGCAAAAAAATGTTGCAACCATAACAATAACACATTTCTGAGTGCATTTGAGTGACTAGTATTCCACACTAGTACAAGACTGGTTCAAACCTGTGGAGCAGCTCTTGTACTTGGAGCTGTGTCCATGCAGCAGCAGAGCAAACACCAGCACCAGCACCAGGATGAGTCCCACCAGAGCCATGACCAGCAGGAACCACCACTCCTCGTAGAAGGGCCGCGACGACTGAGCTGCGGGACAAGACAACTTTTATCCATAGGGTTCAGAAGCATGGACACAATAAGACCATGTTGTTGGACCAGAACCACAAGTGGGTGTCGGGAGACTTACCAGCGAGCGCAGTGGAGGGGCCGCTGGGCTGACCGTAACCATAGCGATTGAATGCTATGACCCTGAACTCATAGCTGACGCCTGTGCGGAGGCGCTCTACAGGGACTGGGGCTGACCTGCTGCTGGGGGGCACAGAGCGGATGAACGAGTCCCACGTACCTTCATCTGCAGCACAAAGAGGGCGGAAGAAGTGATGAGCCACAATCATTACCGTTTGGATAGAGACGAGACGTGAAAGCTAATGGGAGACAATGTCCTTCACCAATCTGCTTTTGGGCATTGCACATTTGTTGTTATTTTATTCCAAACTGGGTTTGTGGTGAAAAACAGCGTGTGCAATCCCTAGTTCCATGTTCTTTGTGACCTGATATTCAAGTGACGCAAGTACCAACAGGCCGAGAAATACCTTTTTTGGGGAATTGCTGTGGTAGTGATGATAATTTAAAAAGCACTTTTCATTCCACAGAACCTCAAAGCGCTACCAGAAAAGCAAGTATAAAGCAGTCCTATAAGTTCCACATGCAAAAAGCAGAGGTACAATTAAAAGCCTGTCTAAATCAAAGTGTCTTTAAGTTTGTTTATGCCTCAGCTCAGCAGTGTGTGGAAGACTGCAGAGTGGCGAGTTCTTGGAAATATGATGGAGCATGGCCACTGTTGCATTTTTGGGTTCAAATTTTTGGGTCTGTGGATCAAAGGCGGCGGATGGGACAGTGATGATGGAGGACGTCAGTGAGGTAAGAGGGGGCCAGGTTATGGAGGGACTTGTAGGTGAGGAGGAGGACCTTGTATTGGATGTGGTACGGAACAGGGAGCCAGTGGAGTTGTTTGAGGACAGGGGTGATGTGGTCTCTGGAGCGGGTGTGGGTGAGCAGCTCTAATACAGTCTTGATGAGATGAAAGCATGAACAAGCTTCTATGAATGGATGAGGGATAAAAGATTATTCAATATGTACAGTAATTGAGATTAAGCTATGATAACACTAACGTTTGACATGAAAATTTTAGCCAACGATAAAACTAGTCCAACCTTATGAGTGCATGCATTTTAGTAAACGACAGCACACTGCCCACGCCAGTCCCCGCAAGTGTATGTGTTTGAGAATTCCACAAGCTTGACATTAGCTCAGAACATGAGCTATATTTCCTCCTAAGGCTTTGAGTCCCAACAGCGAGTCGTCTGGATGGATGGAGTGTGCTTGACCCCTGCCGAGGGCCCACTTAGAGCAGTGGACTCCAGGTATAATCTTCATTCGAGAACTGCAGAGGACTTCATTTGCACAGCAGGTTTTAATGAAAGAGTTGTTGAGTCAATGAAGAAAAAAAAATCCGAGGAACAAGAAAGGAAGTGGTCGCTTTTGGCTCAAGAGCTGCAGTTCAACAACCACTGAGGCTTTAAGCTTGTTGCTTTCAGGATTGTCTATGACACACTTGTTCTGGTGAAGTAGTTCAATACGCAAAAGAGAATATTGTATACTGTAGATAATATTTAAAATTAAATGTTGTCCTCAAACATGACTTTACACAGACCTGTTTGTAAAGCACCTAAACCAAGACACTTAAAGGGGATGTACTTTGCAAAATTGTTTGAGCTTTTAATCATGTTACAACATTATCCCTCATAAAAAATACAGACCTGAAATTGTCCACAATACATCCACAATATCTGGAAAGCTCCTGTCTTAGTCCAATCCTGTTTTCTACCACAGTATTGCCCAACAGCATGATATTGTTTGCAGCCAGTAATTTTCAAATTTGGAACAAAAAAACAAAACAAAAAACAAATTCTAACTTTTCCCTCTTGTGGAAACAAAGGGGATTACAGTAGAAAAACAATTTCCTTCATCTCACCATATATTCCCAGGTATATCAAGGGTAAAGGTATTTTTTCACATACTGAATCAATAAAATACAAATTCAAATAGTCTAATTATAATTTTGAATGGACAAAACTACAAATGCTTCTTTAAAATGAGAAGCCTAATTCCTTTTCGTACTGTAGTGATCTCCAAACTCACCAGAGGGACGGGACTCGATGACATATCCAGTGATGGGGGCAGAGCCAATGTCTCCCTCCGACCAATGCAGGGTGAGACCGGCGGAGGTTTTAGACACGCTCAGGTCCAGAGGAGCACCTGGAGAGCCTGGTGCAAAACACAGTGTTGATAGATTAATATGAGTTATGTTGTAATGGATAAGTATGAAGCCAAAGAGGGGAGAAATCCATTGAAGATGCTCCCAGCTCCAGGACACGTTCAAATCTGGATTTCTGCAGATGTAAGCAGTAAAGTAAAGACACATGATTTTATACCTTCTTGAGTCCAATAAGGTGTTGGGCCATGGTCATAAAATTATAATACAAACTATTAGAAAGGAAATACAAAGTACATTCAAATATTCATCCACATATTAATACATTTTCTTTTTCAATGATAAAATAATTATAAAGCACGGGTCTCCTACTCATTTTGGTCAGGGCCGAGCATTAGAAATTAGAGGTGGTCAGGGCCGAAGTTGGGACATTCTTTTGTGTTAGGATTTTGTTATAGATAGATATATGGATGGATACTTTATTGATCCCCTCTTAGGAGAAATTCAGGTGTCCAGCAGCAGAGGACTATTTATTTTTTATTTTTTGTACAGTCAGTCAGGTTTGTTGTACAGTCTGACAGCCGAAGGAACAAAGGATCTCTTGAAACGTTCCGTCCGGCAGCGTAGTTATGAGTCATGTTTGGATTGAATAAAAGGGTTAAGATGGATTGTTATTGTAAATTGATGGGTCAATTATAATATATGTAATACATTCTTTAAATACCTAAAACTAATGTTTTGGGTTCAACATTAAGTTGGAATATTATAAATGGTATGGGGTTAGTTAATGGTATCTAAATTAACCTCTTCGCATCACTACTAGCATGTCAATAATAACGGAAAATAATTTTCGGGGGCCACTAAAAGCAGTGTAATATGGCTGTGGGGACAGTTGGGGCCCTCACCTGGCAGCGGCTGGGCGGTCAGGTTGGCCTGTGCCGCCGCTCCGTAGCTCACGGTCAGGGCCTGCACACTGAACATGTAGCTCACTCCTCGTGTCAAGTCGCGAACCTTAATCCAGCGCTGCCAGCCTCCGCTCACGTCCACAGTCACCGCTCTGGTCAAACCTGTGCAGAGGGCAGCGAGTGAGAGACGCCTTATTTAGTGTTTTGTGCCCTGATTTTACTGCAAAGCACTTTGGGTGTGTGTGAAGGGCTTTTTAAGACAGGCTGATTGTTTAAGAAAGACCTTTAGTCAGGGCGCCTTTATGCTCTGATCCATGTTTAGGTTGAATATATATTTTTGTGAATGCAATTACAAGCATGGCAAGAACTAATATTGCCGATCACAATTACAAAGTGCCAAAACATGTTAAATAGGGATGTAGTGTTGATTATTTGAGTCACTAATTGTGCTAAGCCAGGCATACACTGTTTGACAGCGGCTCCACAGAAGCATCCGCACACACACACACACACACACACACACACACCCTCTGCTGCTCCTGTTAGTGTCATCTGTTCCCTCCCATCACTTTCCTTATATGCAAATCAGTTTTACAGTTTGTGTTTGAGCACATTATTGCAGGTCGGACCATTCTGGGGGGAGTCTGCTTGTTCTCCCTACGTCTGCGGTAGGTTTCCTCTAGGCACTCCGGTTTCCCCTACCACTAAAAACATAGGCAATGGGTCTGGCATGTGCCCCGCTCCCATGTGTGGAGTGAGAGGACAAATGACCACACCAATTATTAAGCGCTTTGTGACTCTGGTCTGTGAAAGGCACTATAAAAATAAAGATTACTTTTTGTGAGTTTTGAAAAATACACTGACGCACCCATACAGTACAAACACATACACATGTACACACAGGTCCATAGTGCATACCTTGTACGGGGCTGGTGGGCTGGTACCTCACCCTGTAGCCCTCTATCTGTCCATTAGGCCTGAGGGGGGCGCCCCAGGATACGTTCACACTTGAGCCTGTCACCTCCGAGAAGGACAGGAAGCTGGGCTCACTGGGCGCTGTAACAACCACAACAAGACCAAAACTTTAGGCAGATTTAAAAACAACTATGGCATAAACAGAATAATGAAATATTAGGTTTATCATGTGTTGCAGCCTTTTCACTTTTAAAATAATCACAACTATGTTCTTGATAACCAAAACCATTTCTATTGTTGATTCAGGAGTAAAACAATCTAGGCAGTGTTGCAGTTGATGCCGTTATTTTCTTATTGAAAGTCATTAGGAATCTGTTATCATACATCAAGCACTCTGGTGTTTCAATATGTGAAAATCCATCTTGCACGGCTCCTACTGAGCCTTTGTGCCTGAACCCATGAAAGTGCCATCACTGCATAGACATTGGCAAATTAGATTCACTGCACTTATGTATTTCTTTCTTAAGATGCACATCAATGACCATTTCTGTAAATGTGCCAGTATAAGCTACAATGCATTACTACATATTGCTTTTTATAGTATAATCCTGTATTGTCCTACATTTGAACGTTCAGTATGCAGAAAATACCCAGTTCAGTCATTGTTCTTCTTTCTGGTGTTTTTGGAAGTTAAACAAAGGGAACAAGCCACATCCAAACATCTATCTCTTTTTGATCTCCTTGTGAACATTCTCAACAGGGGCCCTTCCTAGTTCGTAGCAAAAATTCCTTATTCTTGGAGCAGTACCTGTCTGCTGCGTCCGGGCCCCGCGAGGATCGCTGGGGGGCCCGTCCCCTGCTGTGTTGAAGGCTGTGAGGGTGAGCATGTAGGCCGTGTAGCTGCTCAGGTTGGTGAGCTGGGCTGCAGTGTGGGGGACGGACACAAGCATCACTTTCTCCGTCTGGTTCTGCCGCTCACGCTCCCAGTAGTGAATCTGCAGCAAAAGTCACAAAAAATGTTGGAAGCTGGACAAAAAGAATACATACATGCTAAAGGCTGGTATTGTTTCCTCTCAAAGGAAATGGTAGAGTTACAGTTAGCCTTCAATCAATATTTGGCCATGGCCAGGGAGAATTCTGAACATAACTGAATACAAATGTAATGTAAATGTATCATTTTGTAAAAATGATCACATTTATATCATGACGCAGTGGCTTCTACCATCGCAACCAGTAACTAAATGTGTTGTTGTTAGGAGGATCAAGCTATGGATATGATTGAAAGAACGTAGGGCTCTAATTAAGGCTTTTTTTTAAAAAAAAAAAATATTATGGGCCCCTGAGGAAATCTTCATAGAGATGACTTGTTGGACTTGTAAGATAAAACATGTTTTGTAAACTCTTCAGTCAGGACAAAAAAAAGTCATTTGTGTTTTCATATCGAACAATGGATCAGTAATCAATCGGGTGACAATAGCTCAGTTGGTAGAGCATTGACCTTTGAGCCAGAGGGTCGTGGGTTCAAGCCCGACCTTCACCATCGACTCCCACTGTCTTCTGTCGTTGTGTCCTTGGCAAGACACTTAACCTCTGGGAACACCAGCCACAGTGGGGCGGCTGCGGCTGTAAAGTGCCAAACTGCCGTTGTGTCCTTAGGCAAGACATTTCACCCCCATTGCCTAGAATGACTTTGGTGTGTGTGAATGGTTGGTGGTGGTCGGAGGGGCCGATGGAGCATACTAGTTGCCTTGCAGCTGTGGCTACAGTAGTAGTTCATCACCACCGTGTATGGAGTGAAAGAATAATGACATGTGAAGCGTCTTTGAGTGTCCAGAAAAGCGCTTTATAAAACTGTGGCAAGAGCTCTGGTGTGTGTCGTCTTCTCTGTCTGGTGCACACCGGGGTAGTCTTGCACAGTTTTACTGCAAATGGCAAATAAATGAATCTGAATCTGATGCATTATTATTATTAATCAATAATTCTAATGAAATACCTGCCAACAAGATAAAACAATGTAATTTTTTCTGTAACAGTGAGTTTTGTGTAACACACATAGTTAAGTCATAGTAACTCGTGCTTACTGCCCTTTTCACTCCTCCCTTGCACTGCTTAAACACAGTTATTTTACTTGGGTTACTCAATAAACTATTTGAGATTTTTCGAATATAATTCAAATCAGCTTGATTTGGTTACAATATAATATTGTGGTGAGCTTACAACATTTAGTTTATATGAGCAGCAGGTGCATTGCAACAATTTACACTTAATCACACAATAAAGTGCCGTAGGTCTGTGTTGTAAGAGAAATCTTGTAGCACTTGAGAGCCAAATGATCCATCTGCGCTCTTCTGATCATACGGCGAAGAGTTATTCATCATCATTTAGGAGAGAAATGAGTTTGGAAACAAGGAGAGGATTTGGGCAGTACAGCTGTGCTAAAGTGTCTGGTCACCTTGTATCCTTGGATGAGTCCGTTTTGGGTTTCCAGTGGCGGCACATCCCACGTCACCTCCAGAACGGATGGAGATAGGCCTGAGACTCTGATGGAGTGAGGGGCCACAGAGGGCGCTGTGGAGGGACCAGACTGATATTAGACTTCAGGTGTGGGAGTGAGTCTGTGTCTGTGATCAGTGCTTTCTGAAATGGTCTTCTACTATCTGCTAGTTTTGATTTTGACATCCCTGCTCTAAATGCAAGTACGGTTACCTATCTCCCCTGTTTGGAGAGTTAACTTTTCTGTCTAATAAAGTTGATCTAAAGCTGTGACAGATCAAACATACTTTTTAAACCCTTTGTAAGAATTCTATTACACAGTCATATTAATTTGTTCTGGTTTGAAAGTTAACAATCCCAAAATGAATAGATGTCTGAAACTTCTGTGGTAATGAGGGCCCAGAGCGTCTTCAGCAAACTTTCTAAATATATATTGGTATAAGATAAGATGAACCTTTACTCGTCCCAGAGCAGGGAAATTTCACCATTATTGCGCAAATGACAGCAAAATAAAAGGAGGAAATAAGAGCACTTAGTTTGCCCACATCAAACAGGATCTATTATTGAACAAAATAGATAATAAATAATATAAAAATAAGATGATAAAATAAAACTCTCACTGCTTTTGTGTCTTTAGGCAAGACACTTCACCCCCATTACCTATAATGAGTCGGAGTGTGTGTGTGTGAATGGTTGGTGGTGGTTGAAGATGCCGATGCCACATGTCAGTGTGCCCCAGGGCAGCTGTGGCTACAGTAGTGGTTTATCACCACCATGTATGGAGTGAATGAATAATGACATGTGAAGCGTCTTTGTGTTCAAAAGAGTGCTATATAAAACCGATGCATTATTTCATTATTTTTTACAAACATATAAACAGTGTTTTACACCATCTTCTCCCATCAGCGCCAGTGGACTCTGTGATAGCGGTCACCCACGAGTTCACCCACCTGCCTCTCCCACAGACACATCCACGGCTGCAGATGGGGGGCTCTCTCCCACAATGTTGGAGCTGGTCATGAAGATCTGGTAACGCTGGAATTTCTTAAGCTCTGAAATGGAGAATTGGCAAATTCCCAATTGGTTTCACTAATAAATAATCATGCATGTACAGTAATACCACTATCAGCAAGAGAAGCATTACACATTTAGCATAATTGTATTGATTGTAAGTGAGGATGAGTGGAGTAAAAGTTCAAACAGTAAAGTAATAACAATGGACTACTTAAGGCTAGACGAGGAACCCTGCACTACAGCATCATTTGCCTGATTGAAGTCTCCTCTTCAAGTGCTCTGCACTCACATTGCTAAAAGTGTTTGCAACATAATAGAGTTCCAGGGACAGGCAGACACAGATTATTATCCATATCCATGTACATCTACTCCAACTCATTTGGGGCCCCCTGAGGTGTTACCAGGCCAGCTGGGAGACACAGTCCCTCCAGCATGTCCTGGGTCTTCCCCTGGGTCCCCTCTTGGTTGAAGATGAAGATGAAGAAGTGGCATCTGAAACAGATGCCACCACGACTGGCTCCATTCGATATAAGCAGCAGCTCTATTCCAAGCTCCTCCCTTGTGACCGAGATCTATCTGTGGAGAAAACTATTTTTTACCACTTGTATCTGAGATCTCATGAAGCTAATGAATTCTTAATGACTTAAGATTTCAAATGCTAAGAAGAAAATGCTAAATGCTAAGAATAATTAAGGTTAATGAGGAAGTGTCACAGTGAGAAACAGAAGGTTCTAGATGCACTAGCTTCTGCTTCGTTCACAGCAATCTTTGTTCTAAAGCATTTCTAACTCCTCTGGTGTGAGCTGGGCTTTAGTCTGCTTTGATGTTACATATTTCCGAGTGCTTTTCATTCACCAAAACAAAACACCAGGTTTATAATAGTTGGTAATGTAAGCTCATGCTAAAGGGCTCACCATCAGAAAATAGAAAATTCAGTGTATTTACTGCATTCTGTTTATTTACTTTTATAATTAGTAATGACCACTTGAATTAAAGCCAACCGTAACATACTTTTTACGTTTCTTTTCCTATTTTTTTGTTTTGTTTTGTTGTTCTTTGTTCACCATGGCTCGAAATAAATTATGAATTCATACTTTTTTATGAAGAATTATGGTAGGATTTAAATTAAAGGCGAGTTTTGTGAACTGTAGCAAAGTAAACAAGGCTATAGAATAACATACGTGTAAGCTCGAACTCTGTCAGCGAGGCACTGCTGACTGTCTTAAAGGTGCTCTTATCTGAAAAAGAAAAAAAGAAGACACTCAAATATAAACAATTAAAGTTGTATTTATTTTTGTTCTTCCATTGGTTTCTCTAGTATTTGCCTGGACTCACTGGTGATGAGAGCACTTGAGGCACTGGTGTTGGCCTGGCCTGGTGGTTCGGTGCTGATGGAGCTGTTTGCTGGGATCTCTCTGTAGTACAGTCGGTATCCGGTCAGGACCCCGTTCAAACTGTCGTCACTGGGAGGCTGCACACACAACCACAGAAACACGAAAAAGTCTGTCAATACAACCTCCTCCTTTATGTTATTATCTTTTATTTTTAATAGATCCTGTGTGAGTGCTCTTAGTTTCTTCTTTTCTGCTGTAATGTGTGCAACAATGACGTTCAAATACTGCAATCATGTGCAATGTGCAATACTGAAATTTCAGAATGTCCACTGAATGTCACTTTATCTACTTACTACCCTTCCCGGTTTGTGCAGTATATAACTTTGCACTATATATGTATAGGTATTTTAAAAGATTGATATTGAAGTGTTTACAGCTAGTTAAGAAACATAGCAGCAGCTTATTTTGTATATTTTGTATGCTCCCTTGTGCTCTTACTACTCTCCTGTATGTGCGCTGCAACGTTGAAATTTCCCCACTATGGGACGAATAAAGGATTTCTTATCATTGCTTATCAGAAAGTAATGTTATGTTATTTCATTAGCAAGGTCTTTAAGAATAAAGGCAGTGAATCTGGTCCAATGTGACTGATTGTTTGGCACAACAAACAAAAACCGCTGTATAGAAAAGTTTTAATAATTCCATAAAAGTAAAACATGCGGCCGTCACTAAGTATAATGGCAAAATAAATACTTCTGTCTTTGGATCAGTTTGTTTCTATAAATACTGAAAATAACCTTCACAGACAATAAGACTTGATGAAGTTTACAATGTTCAGCTTTAAAGAGGTTTGTGTGGCTCTTGAGACGGTACTTGTGTTTGTATAACTAAAATGTTGTCTGTGTCCCCATTCTAATGTCATAGATTTTCACATTGCCATTACCAAAGTAAATCATTATTGATATTGGACATAATATTATAATTATCACAGACTTTCAGCGACCACTTTGTGTACGGTATAAATAATTCATAAAAAGGCATTATATGGATATGAATATATTAGGGATGTAAATCGGTGACCGTTTAACCGGTGGTTGACCGTCACAGCGTTAACCGGTCAAAGCTGTCGGTTAAAAATAAGAAAAAGCGGAGAGGGGAGGTCTCTTAATAAGGCTATTAATAAGCCCTATTTGTACGATGTGACGAGCGGGTCAGTATCTAGCTGTGTGCGCCAATGCATTAGTAGACTACGGGCGACTTTCATGGCGCACGCTCCACATATGCACGCAGCCACGCACACGCACGCGCGCGCACACACACACACACTCAAAAACACTTTCCCCCCCTCCATACGTAACATCCACACGCATCATCTCTCCCCTCTGTTACCGCCAAAGTTTCACACTAGTGCAGGTCAGAACTACATTGGAGCTTATATTTACACACACATACATACATGTATTGTACACACACACATACCGGGCTGTCGCGCACTTCTGTGTCTCGCAGCCCAAAGAATCCTCGCAAATACGCGGCCCCAAACACATGAAACATGTTTGTGCTGCTGGTCCTTGTCATTAGATCAGATCCACACACATCACTTTTAAACTTTAGCGGAGACCTGCGAGACGCGGCGTGTAACTCGCTGCTCTGACCATGTGAACAAGCCGTCTTTTGCTTAAAAATGCTTTAACCCGCAGCACAGAATGGGAAGATTAAAAAAGCAGTTCTCTGTGCGCAAAGGTTCCGAAGCTGTTGCGGGTTTTGGCGCCGCTGTCTCAGCTCTGATCTAGTAGAACGCATAGATAAACTTATGAAAAGTACGCGGCTCGAAATGGCTGCTATTTCAAAGAACGTGGAATATTTTAAACTACGCGGTTAACCGGTTTCAACCGGTTAATGAGGCTCGGTGGTCGGTCATGAAAATGCATAGTTTTTTACATCCCTAGAATATATATGTTTTATTGATAATGCTAAAATAATCTGAATTCAAAATAGAAAAAGTGTTTTTAATCCAGAAGTAGATTGCGCTGGTTAATAGTTTAATTCAATTTAAATTTTGTAAAATAGAAAATAAATGTAAATTGCATGAGACAACCGTGACTAGCACAGTGGTAAAAATATTTATATTCTAAAAAGGACAGATAACGGACAGATCAGATTTATTTTACATGATTTAAGAAAGGGGCAGACAGCATAAGACTGTATTCTTCTTTTTGTTTTATTTTTTGTAATTGTAATATGTGTTGTATTGTCATGTCTAAAATTGAAAAAAAATAAACGCTATTGCCATACAGTTTTAGCAGATTCAAAATGTGCTCTACTTTGGCTTTGTATTCTGTTTTTTACACAATTTGAAATCACCCACTTGTTCTTTCCTTTTTTAACTTATTACAGAATTATTCCTACAGGCTGAAACAGGTCCATTTTCCTTAAACTCACATTAATGAATAGAACATTTGGGCAACAACATGTCCTTCACACAGAACGACATGTCCCTGTGTCTCTCTGTGGGTGCAGTACATCTAAAAGCAGCACACAAGTCGACTTATCCCCTCGCTATTGTTCGCACAATAAAGAAAAACACATTGTACCTTCCACTGCACCAGGACAGAGGTCGTGGTGGTGGGCTTCACAGAGGTGATCACTGGGGGCTTATCAGGAACTGCAAAAATAACAATAATAATTAGGAAGAATGTATGTAAGTCTACAGTCGTGCATAGCAGTGGACCCTCCATGACAGATGTTGGTTTCCTTTGGGCCATATCGCAAAGAATGATAACGCAATCATTGTTAGTGGTTGTGTGAAGCCATTTATTGTCAAATGAATTTACAGTTTCCTGGTCAGAATTCTCCATTCCCACTTTAACATGCTGGAGTCTTTCGTGGTGGTTGTGGATGAGGTATTTGTATTTATTTGTTTATTTGAATGTCAGTGTGTGTATGAATGAAAAGCAATAACTGTAAATACACCACATTGTAGCTTTTAGTAGCTCCATCTGTGGTGCCAGTCACACTCAATAGCATACAATCATTTGACTATTGTACATGTTATTAGTAGAAGGGGACACCGGTGCACCCAGAGGAAACCTACTCAGACATGGGGAGTATGCATGCAAACTTCTCACAGAAAGGCTTGGTCTGGAAGTGGAATTGAACACAGGACTTTCTTACTAAGAAGCGCAAGTGCTAACCACTGCACAGCGAAGGTAAAGCCAACCAAAAAAACAAAATAATAATTTGAAAAAAAAAAGACAATATATGGCTACACACAATCACCAACGATGGATGAGGAAAAAAGTTGTATTATCATTAAGAATATGCATAATATTTCCTCCAGGAGGTGTAAACTTTACAGCTCTAATAATGACTGTATTTATTGAGTCATAATTAGAGGTGGGATGAAGTTCCATATTCATGAGATATTTTTGCTCTTAGATTGAGAGTTTTTGGCAATAAGAAGTGGCATAATAAGCATATTGTATATGTGGCGTTTTTACCGTCCAACCCCTTGTGTGGCCTTGTTCCTTACCGTCCTGCAGAGTGGTCACAGCCTCGGTCTCTTTGCTCAGCACGCTGTCGCCCACATCGTTGGTGGCCAGCATCCTCAGCTTGTACGATGTGAACGGTTTCAGTCTGAGAAGCAAAACATGAAACAGCCGAAATTATTTCCACTGGGAATTGTTGTATCTGGATTACAAGGATTTCTACTGACATATTGCAGACACGCTGTTCTCAGTGTTGTGGTAGAATGTTGTAAAGTTATAAATAAATGAATGATAAATAACTAAAATAGACTTTAAAGCAGAACTGTTTGTGTACAAGTCTCTCCATGGCCTCGCAGCAAAATACATCTGTGACATGTTGGTGCCATATAAACCGACTCGGACGCTGAGGAGAACAGGAGGTAGCCTCTTGCTTGTGTCCAGAGTCAGAACTAGACATGGGAAGCAGCATTTCAGATTTATGCAGCAAAAATCTGGAACAATCTTCCTGAAAATGGCGCCTACTTAAGCAGTTTTCGAATCCAGATTAAAACAGTTTTGTTTAGCTGTGCATATAACTGAAGGATTTGTATTTAATGTATTTAATGCACTGTGGCTATATATTATTTTAATCCTGTGTGTGACGAGAATGTTTTAAGGTTTGCTTGATGTGATATGAGTTGTGACGCACTTTGTGTTGCTTTGTGTATGAAACGCTCTCTACAAATAAAAGTTGATTGATTGGTTGAAAAGAAGGACTTAAATGTGATCTCAAAAAGACAACTCATTGAGACAGATGAAAATATCCTTGTGCATTTAAAGCTGGGGTTCCTAACTTTCAAACCATAAAAAAGGAACGGTCATAAAATCTGTTTAACTAGATCCTGGCTCAAATAAAAATTGGTTCTTGCTCTAGTTTTCAAATACAAACAAGTGAAAAGGGAGGACCACACTGACTTAGGCAATTAACTCTCAGCCCAAAGCATCAAATAGACAATGGATGTTTGCTTTTTTTGGTTTTCTGTCGAATCATATATTTCTAGTATACAATATATAACAATACAACATACACATGCATTTTAATATTCTGACCATTCTAAACAAAACTAACCCACCTGCAGACACAAGAAGAAAAGTTAAGCCTCTATAAAACTCTTCACTTAACACTTTACAATATTTTCCCCAATGGCCGCCCAGCCTAAAATAATGGACTCCGCTATTCTTTGAAATTCATATAGGCTTCGTTCCCTGAGGACCTGTTTATTCCATCGGGGCACTGCTGGAAAGAGCCTGCGTTGAATGGGAAGTGGTCCCAACTGCACGGCGAGCAACTGAAAATGCATTATTCATGAGCGCAAATATAGTTTGAATCGCTTTGTTTCCAGACATGCCAGATTGGAAAAAGACCATTTACAATGTAATGGAATTGTGAATTGTGGAGCTGGTTTGAAAGGACTATGTGGTGAAATGAGCAAAAGAAATGACATGAAAACATGAGAGGACCCCATGGGAGTTCAGTGAGAGATTACAAAAGCTGTTTTAAAGTCTTATAGTGACTTTTTTTTAAGATGGGGGGGCATTTGTTTGGATGCAACCGCCAGTTAGATCCACCCACACAGCTTCCTGATTGGATTCGTTCAAATCCTTGATAAACAACTAGTGTATCTTTACTCCTTCAGCCAGTATTACTGGTGGGGGTTATGCCAAGGGGAGAGTCTGCAGCAGAGGTATCCAGCGTTATTTCCACAGAGAGCTACTTTAAAGGACAAAAATGGCACAGAGCTCCTTTTGAACCCTTTTAGTTAATACTGTATGGTGGCCTGCCTTGAATTGCATTTTGTACATCGAACTAACTCATTTTTTAACCATTAATTGGGAAAAGACAATACTAGGGAGATTTTTTATCAGACCTATAGCTCCCGAGCTATAGGTTGGAGACCCCTGGACTATACAGTCATATGTCTTATAAAAATGAATAACAAAAGATGAAGATATCACTTATACACTTTTTTATTTATTTTTTATACTGTAAGTGAGGACTGAGTGGGATTGCCCGCACTACTTCCGGATCCCTCTATCCTTCCAGTTTCTAGAAACCAAACCAAAACACTGATATGTATGGATATCACATCAAATTCTCTTTGGGCTTTTTCACAATAAAGTTCTTTCAACAGTGGGAATGTGCCCTAATTGTTTCTTTGGAAGAGAAAAAGAAAAGTTCAACTTATAACGAGCGGAGCCATGACTTTGGGAACTAACAGTATTGAAGCTATTACAGCAAATTTGGAGAGCTTTTGTACTGAACAGTGAGTGAAAAGAAAAGAGAGACCAATATTGGAGGTAGATCACAGGAAATGAGCTCAGATTGACGGAATGCAAAAGTTGGAGAAAAAATATAACTGATAAAGGTCGGGGAGGGTGCTACGGGTGACTCTTGCGCATGCGTTTAGTGGGATGCGTAAAGAAAAACCCTGCATCTTGAAATGATATACATTTTCACCTTGTAATCCCCTGTTACATTGTTCTCTTTCGGAAAAAAACGCCAACGCACTTCCATGTCAATTTTGCAAAAACATTCACCACTGTTTCTGTCTGATTTTGACATACAACACTCTTTTGTTTTCTGACAATTCTCCGTCTCCAAACCTGTGCCGAGACAGAATGGTATTTCTGACTATCTGATCACACAACATCTTTTACCCTTCAAGTGTCCATGTGGTCACGTCGTGCGGCACGTCGCTGATGTGGGGGCTCCAGGCTCCGTCGGGCAGTTCCTTCAGGTGGACTGTGTAGTACCTCAGAGGGGAGGAGCCTGACCCCCCACTGACCCACTGCAGCTGTAGTCGCCGGGCTCCCACTCCCTCCTGCGGCACCAACAGCTTCCTGGGGGGCTGTGGACGCTCTGCAACAGCACATGGGAAAGACAAAGATCGCTGTTTTTCATATTCAGAATGTCCAAATTCTTGATATAAGATAGAAGAAAATAACTTAAGTAAGTAATGTTTATTTAAATAGCACATTTTACAGACCAAAGTCACCCAAAGCCCTTTACAATGGTCAGAGTTCAGATAGTTTTCCATTCTCTCCACACACAGCAATGATGGAAGCGAGTCGCTGAACACACTGGCGCATCAAAGCCTCTGACCAAACACTCATTACATTCATACCTATTGTGCATGTTATTCTAAGTGATAGGAAAAACCAGAGCACCTTGAGGAAACTTACGCAGACACAGGGAGAACATCCAAACTCCGCTCAGAAAGACCCTGTTTCGCCCGGGATTCGAACCCACAATTTTCTTGCTGAGAAGCGAGAGTGCAATCCACTCAGCCACCGTGCCGCCCAAATTGTCTCTCATGTGTAGTGATGTGCCAAATTTGTTCCTGGCCTGTGATTACTCACTTAATTCACGACATTTCATGCGTTAAAAAACTAACAAAAACATAAAATATATACATTAGTAAGTAGCCCAAGGGCTGAGGCGATAGCACTCTCACTTCTCGGCAAGAATGTCCTGGGTTCGAAAACCGGAAGGAGTTTGTATGTTCTGCTTAGATTTCCTCCAGGTGCTCCGGTTTTACCGCTAAAAACATGTACAATAGGTCTGGCATGCGCCCCGTGTATGGCGACCTCACTCCCATCGCTGTGTGTAGTGAGAGGTCCAATGCCCACAACAATTGTAAAGCGCTTTGTGATTCTGGTCAGTGAAAGGAACTATATAAAGAAAGTAAAAAGTGCAGCGCAAACGTTGTGGTTGGAAAGGTTTTGAGAGCTTTTTTCTTACTCCACAGAAGTTGTCAGTTTTCACGTTTGTATTTACTGTTTATTTGGTTTAGACAGTACATCTTAATGAACAGACTTCTCCGGATTGTTAATTTGCAACCATCGTGCACAGTCACAAACATACACTTATTAACTCTGGACTACATGTTAAGGGAGAACATGCAAACTCCACACAGAAAGGCCCTGTCTGGAGGTGGAATCAAAACCAGGACCTTCTTGGTGTGAAGCACAAGTGCTAACCACAGCGTCATTGTGCGCAGCTGCAAATCCATCATTTTCATTTGGAAACAACTTTTATATCTTTAAATTACACTTTCAAATCTGTGCAATAGAATAAGTACAAAATGTCTTGGTCTTCACATGTCAATTCAAATGTTTATATAATGATTGGCAATAGCAGTGTCACCCATTCCAAATCCCGCTTATTTGCACTTGAATATTGGAGTCGTCGCTGCAAATGGAGGTTGATGTGTGCCTTTTACTCTAATAAATATGCAATGTTGTTCAACTCAAACAATACAAGTTGGCCACAAAACCTCTGCTGTTCTGAATGCACATCATTTCAGCCAATAACATGAAATGAAATTACAATTGATGTTCTATTCAAAATATACATATTACATAAGAGAGGTTGTAAGAACCATGTGTATTTTACAAACACAGGCAGGGGTTAAGCAAACTCAAGTAAGAGTTTTATTACAGTGTCAAAGCCTGACATCTTTTCAAATTATAAGTCTCAATGTGAAGAAAGGCCATTGTATGAGCCCAATAAAACACAAATAACAGCTTATAACAGCACCTGTAAAGTCGAACTGGAGACAGGCTTTGTCCCCCTAATTACCGCCCTGTGCTTATATATAAAAATAAACCTTTGACAATGCAGCATTGTGTCTGTTTTAAAGTCAAAAGTTCAGTTTTAAAGTGTGGTGGAATATTTCTGTCAGTGCAGTTGGTACAATCATATGTCATTCACAGTCTGGACAGAATTTTAACAAAATGCAGTCCTAGCCTTGAGACAAAACATACGAGTTTCCCTCATGATTTAGGCAAACCTAAATTGCTGTCTGAGTTCAAGCTAATGAAAGCTTTAACAACAACACAAAATAATCTTATGCTATGTGTGAAATATTTCATATGTACAGTATGTTGACATAAATATTAGGCCTTGCCAATTATTCGACCAGTACCTGCTAGACTATAAGCCACTGCTTTCCTAGAGCGCTTTTAACCATACAGCCTCTATAGCGATGCGGGCAATCTATGTATTCTTATTCTGTTAGAGCACCCCCAGATCAGCAGTTGATCTCCAAAGCTATTGACATGGGACACACAGTCCTGCTTCTTTATGTGTTTATGGGAACAGCTAAGAGATTCAACGTGGAAATACACAGGATTTGCTTTTATGTGGGTGTGTTTTCGTGTGTGTTTAGGCCAGTGGGGGCGGGTCCCGGCTCAAAAGAGGCCAAAATGACGTAGGCTGACATGCTTGCAATACCACCGCGGGCCGATGAGGGTGGACCCGGAATAAGAATTAGCCAATGCTAATGTATACCATCTTCTTACCTCTTGAAACGACTTTACAGGATGGACCAAAAGTTGGCTCTTGCCCAAAGCTCCGTTCCACATGTGTGTCAATGCTGAGGGGAGTTAATTTCTTTGGACCACTCTGGTTTAGTCTCTCGTTTAAATGACTGGAGCTGCGCCAGCTGACGCATGCGCAGATGCGTTTTTTCACAATTTTCTTGTGGGCGGGACCACTCGCAGCCATTTTGGATAGCTCCAGTAGAGCAACATTTTTGGCCCAATAGTTTGAACAGCGGAGATAGGCGTGACTACGTCCGTTTATATTTACAGTCTATGGTTTAGGGCTACAGTTAGGGCAGTGGATTCATTATCTTGACTTTTGAGTTTTAGTGTTTAATGGTAATGTCAAAATACCACAGTGCTTTGATCATCACAAGTCAACAGTTAGCTAAAACACGTCATCATAAATCATGAGCCAAGGGTGTCATAGATTTGCACCTCTAACTTAGATCTCCCACCCACATACCTCTTCTCTCTGTAGTGACCACGAGGGCCTGGTGCTCCTGGCCCCAGCCCACTGCAGTGCGGGCAGTCAGTCTGAAGGTGTAGGTCTGCTCCGGGGCCAGCCCAGTGACGGTGAACTGTCTTCCTGTGGAGCCCACTTCTACTGTGGTCCAGCGGAGAGCGTCACGGCCCTCCTGACGGTATGAGATCTGGTATCCTGAGAAGAGAAGACACTTTTAGAATATGTTCTCAGACTGTATGCAATAGCTTTGAGAAGAGGTTAGATGTATTTTATTATCTCACAATGGAGAAATTCTGTTTATTTCATAGCACTCTAAAGCCTGTTCATGTAAGACGGTCATGTATCCATCTACATTGCAATCAGTTTAAATGAACATAAAACCAGCCTGCCCAGGGACTACAGGTGGAAATTATAACCTGCTATAACCTGGTACATGCATCTCTCCTTTTGTGTTAATGCTTAACTGTACACTGTCCCTGTTCAAATAAAGTACATACAATACAATACAATACTATGTTTAACTATCGGTATGACAGAATACTTCCTACAGTCCAAATCAAGTTTCAGACCTGTTGAGACCTATAGAAAATAACAGTAGAAAAATAAATAACTCACATTTGACAAACCTACAGTACCTACAGGTCTAAAAAATAGCACTTCTTCTACAACCTTGTACAATACATCTCTCCTTTTGGTTAATGTTTATTGTACGCTGTCTCTGTACAAAAAAAAGTCAAATCATAGCGGCAAAGAAAACATTCTAATTTGTGTTTGTATGTGTTCATTTCCTCAAACAAGTGTGTTTTTTTTAACTGATTCTACTTAGATAGTTGCTTGAGCTCTGTGTCGGTGTTGTATTTGGAATCAGGGACAGCGTCCATTTCCACTTGTTATCTAGGCTACATTACTCCATCCAAATATTAGTAGCTGAAAGATGGAGATTATAATTTGTACACAACTACTACTTAGTGATAGTATATGTCGCTCTGAAATGAATTGCACAATGGAGAATGAGTTGTAGGTGTATATAACTGAGATTTTTTCACAAAGGAAAGGAACAAAATTATTGAATGTTTTAAAAAAAGGCAGGTAACAAAGCTACCATACATACTTCGTTCATACTTGCTTTACTACTTGTACGTACCAACCTGATGCTCATGGTACTTCAGATGGAGTTTTTAGTTTAGTTTTTAGCCCATTAATCTACTAGCTACAATATTTCAGCAGAGTTTGACATTTGACTTAGCAACTATTTATCAATCGGTTCCTCACCACCTACTTTACAGTTGTTTGCCTCGAAATATTATGTCCATAAAGAGATTTAAATCTTACATTATGTTGATCTGAATATTACAGATATATTCTTTGAGCATGTGGGTCAATGTAATTATCTAGAGTGTGTGGCACAGTAACCCTCATGTAATCTAATGAAATGGACGCCACCTAACCACCCCAGTAACACCAGATTACACTCCAGTAATCATACATCCATCCCTTAGCTCACATAGAAGATGAAAAATAATCTTGTGTTTGTATGGCCTAAAACAACAGTATACGTTTAGAATGAAAATGCATAGAAATCATGATTAGTACAACTTCAAAACAACTTTCTGGATTCATTTCTTGTAAACAGCTGAAAAGCCGCTGTCAATAAAGTAGTCAATAAATTAATAAATGATGCAAATAATAATAAATAATAATAACAATAATAATAATGTTTTTAAAAAAGTATGTTTAAAAGTAACATATTGTGAACAAATCAGACAACATGCTGTTAAATGTGTGGCCGAGACCAAACATACACACAGGTGAGAAGTAGCGAAAGAACCAAACTGTTAAAGGGTAGGAACTGGTTACATGGATTTTACATTGTTTTTTTTTTGGTTTTTTTCAAAATTAGCTACACCAGCTTTAAGTCCATGCCGTTTCGCTGTAGTATAACTATTTCATCACTTGGTCAAGGCTGCACTTTGAAATTTGAAATAAAAGAGTAAAAGTAAGAAATGACAGCAAATCATTCCTTTGATCCACTTAGAGCAAGATAGACGTCTGAAAACATACTTTTTTAAATGATACTTTTCACTCAGAAAAGTAGTGAGAAATACACAAGCAAGGCCCAATCAAATCCACTGATATCAAAGGTGACATTTGAATACAACTGCCCTCTGTACCGTGTTGCCTTGCTTGACTGCAGTGGGCCAAGAGAGATGGACCATAATCCAGGTTTTGCCCAGCTCACCTACTGTCAAAAAGGGTGTAAAGCCAGGAGGTGACAGAGTGTGGCGTACTAATCCCACTGCTGTCTGATAATCTTGTCATGAAGACCCAAAGACCAGTGATGGATGATCGGATAAGAGAGGCGGCAAATCCACTCTCTCCTTTTCTCAGCAGCTCAAAACTGCAGTTCGAGTCTGAGATTGTTTCACTGAGAGAAAAAAACCATGCTATTTTAAAGTAATTGATTTCCCCTTAAGTCATGATTGTGGAACATAGTGTTCCACCGTTACGACAAGTCTGTGATTATTAGTTATGATTTGTGGCAAGGATTCTTGTTACAATTATTAAAAACATATCACAGCCATAAAGACAATTTGTTATTTTCACTACTAAATAATAAAAGTTTAACGGTCAGGTCATATTCTGCTAATACAAAAAATGATTCTATTCTCCTCCCAACTTTAAACCAAGTTAAAAATGTCGATCTTGGTTGGATTGGGGCTAAAAGTATTAATCAAATTGACCTCCTGAACTCTGAGGTGCTACTTTTTTCAAGATCCTGGAACTCTGAGGCCTGCGCTGCAATACAGCCAATCTATGTATTATTATTTTGATAGAGTGCACCCTGGGGGGCAGGAGGGGACTTGGACACACCTCTATCAGTTTTTGATCTTCAGTTCTGATGACGTGGCACATATTCCTGCTTCTTGATGTGTTTACGTGAACAGCAGAGAGATACACATGAGGAAGTAAAGGGAAGTAAATAGGACTTGTTTTTTATGTGATTAGGGCTGTTGAGTTTATCAGCTAACTATATTGATAATTAAGTTTTAGTTGGATAGCGCTCTCACTTCTCAGCAAGGTCGGAACAGGGTCTTTCTGAGTGTCTGCGTACATTTCCTCCGGGCACTCCGGTTTCTCCTACCACTAAAAACATGTGCAATAGTTCAGGGTGAAAGAGTGTGTGTTTGTGAGTGCGAATGTGGGAGAACGGACGCAAATTAGCCCATGACTACAATCCGGAGAGACGTGTTTATTAACATGTACTGTCCCAACCAAATACAAATACAACAACAATAAATAAATAAATATTGTCAACACTTTTTTACCGTCACGAGTGAACAGCATTGGTTTGCCCCATCACATGTTGGTTAAGTGCTATATTGCAACATGAAGAAATGTTTACCTGGTGTCAACACTGAAAATCAGCCCCGATGACTGATTTGAACAGTGGCAGAGTTTGCAAGAAAGTTTCTAAGTAAATAATCTTTATGTATACAGTGCCTTTCACGGACACAAAGCGCTTTACAATTGTTGTTTTTTTTTTATATATATATATGAATGATGAATAAATATATCCACTTATTCACTTTTTCATTCATATGGATATGAAAAAGTGGCTAGATATATGAATGATTTTTTACAGTTTAATGGATTATTCATTTAATCTTTTTGTCCTTAAGTCTTTGTCCTTTTATTTTGCTGTATAACAATCCATAGAATTCTCATTAGCTAAAACAATTATGTAACAGCTTACAGACAGTTTGTGAAGGGCTATACACTCCTATAGCTCTGTCTAGCGCCCTTCACAAACTGTCTGTAAGCTGTCACATTAATTGTTTTCTGATGCAGAGAGGATACTTCCAGCCACTCTCACCCCCCCCTAATACGCAGAAACAAAGTTTCCTATCATAACTATGCAGACGACACTCAGATCTATGTCTCACTGACTGCAGGAGAACATGGACCAGTGGACTCACTCCTTCACTGTATCCAACAGATCAGTGAGTGGATGCAAAACAACTTCCTTCAGCTAAACGCAGACAAAACTGAAATGATTGTCTTTGGTCCCCAGAAACAAAGAGAGAGCGTCATCTGTCACCTACAGTCTCTCTCCCTAAAACCTTCAAACAAGGTCAGAAATCTAGGGGTAATACTGGACTCAGACTTAAATTTTAATAGCCACATCAAATCAGTAACATCAGCAGCTTTCTACCATCTAAAAAACATTGCCAGGATCAAAAACATAGTGTCTAAAGCAGACTTGGAGATTCTTATCCATGCATTTGTCTCCAGTAGGTTAGACTACTGCAATGGCCTGCTCACAGGTCTGTCCAAACAGGCTGTAAAACAGCTGCAGTACATTCAAAATGCAGCAGCTCGAGTCCTGACTAGAACCAGGAAGTACGACCACATTAGTCCAGTCCTCAGGTCTCTGCACTGGCTTCCTGTGGCTCAGAGAATAGACTTTAAAACAGCTCTGCTTGTGTACAAGTCTCTCCATAGCCTCGCACCAAAATATATTAGTGACATGTTAGTCCCATATGAACCAGCCCGGACTCTGAGGAGCACAGGGACTGGACTCCTGTTAGTGCCCAGAGTCAGAACTAAACATGGGGAGGCTGCTTTTCAGATTAATGCTGCTAAAATCTGGAACAGTCTTCCTGAAGATGTGAGACAGGCCTCCTCTCTGACAATGTTTAAAACCAGGTTAAAGACGGTTCTGTTTAACTGTGCATACAACTGAGGGATTTTATATTTTTATAAAAAAACACAAACACAAAATACCCGAGTTACAACGACTTTACTCATGTACTGTAAGTGCACAGGGCCAGAGAGGATCCAGATCCAGCACTCTAAAGGAGAATAATCACACTGCATGGTAAAGGGCTTATGATGTAAAAGATCAGATTCAACACTGATCATTCTGTGAGGGGGGAGGGAGTTAGTTTGTGTTTCCACAAATTCCAGTTATAAAAGGAAAGCAATAAATAATCTGGAGTTACAAAGTGTGGCAGCTTGTTCTCAGCAGGAGCAACGGAGCAAACAGAATTCACCTCCTACTCATTCCTTCTGTCACAAAGCCGTGTCACACTAAATGTGCTCCCCCTTGAGCTCCGACACACAGTTCCATCACGCACAACAGTCCGACTGAGAGGACACAACATACCTGCTGTGCATGAACAGACCAACAGACCAAAAAATGCAAGTCTACCTGCATAGAATTACTATGATGATTCAGAATGAGAAAGTTTTTAAATGAACAAAACTGAGAAAGTTTCCTTGAGATAAACTACTACATCCAGAAATGGTATTACCAGAACCGTAATTATTTTATCTTGTTTCCTGAATGGATGTTTTCTTGGTTTTTTTCAATAATAAATAATTTTCTATCATTCCAATATCTTCCATCACAAAAATGTTTTGGTATTACAAGAGCCAATTTTCTTGTTGCAGAGGTACACATATTTTAAAATAATGTGTTTAGAGATTAGTAAATGCAACTCGGACAACATTTAACTCTAAAAATCCCAACGCGGTGCCAAACGACTCCGAGGATTCTAGCTAACAAACTAAATCACCTGTGAACGATTAACTTTGTAATGTAAATAACATCCGGTCTTATCTTTGGATGTGTCGGACCGGGCGGTGGCCCATTCCGTGCTGAGTGCAGCGGACTGAGTTAGACCGTTAGGTCCCTCCTCTGAGGGGGCCTTCGGTTTACTTTCCGCCCTGATTCAGGAGCTCTTGGGAGAGGCATCCTACAGGTGCGGTACATATATGTATGTTTTGGTCGGTCTGGTAGTCCACGTCAGGAGCCCTTGGGAGAGGCGTCCTGTGACTACGGATGACCTATATCTGTGTTACGTGGGGGTCTCCTTGGTAGGAGTGGCCCTGTAACACGCATTGTTTCTTCTGCCCTGAGTCCTCTCACTGTGTGAGGGTCTTGCTCGGGCGGAGCTCCAATCACCTTCGCTGGCCTGCTGGGAGTACATGTTCCTACGGCCTCCGCGTTGTGTCCCACTAGCGAAGTCCTAAGGGACGTAGCACCATGACGTAGAATTAATAGTTACTTAATGTAACTTAAGTTCTACGAATAGGTGCGTAGTCCCTTAGCTACGAGCCCATCAGGCCAGCCCGGCTTGGCAGAGTTCAAGAGGGGGTGCGGCCTTGTGCAGGGGCATTTATAGAGGAAGGTGGCTGGTGATTGGAGCAAATTATTTTGATCTCTCTGGCGTGTGACCTGGGGGTCACGAGTGATATCCCACTAGCGAAGTCCTAAGGGACTACGCACCTATTCGTAGAACTTAAGTTACATTAAGTAACTATTAATTATCACAGGCTGCACTTTGCCATCTTCGGGCGAGGGGGAGGATCTGATTAGTTCAAATGAGTTCAAACTAATGTCATGCTGACTGTGATAATAAAGCTAATTAAATAAAACAAACGTGCAACGTAATTTAATGTTTACATTTACATTAAATTAAAAGAATATAAATATCCTACTTAATTAAATCTTTACATTTTCTACTGCATGCAATTATTACTAGCATCTTAAATCTTGCTGTCCCACCACTGAAGTCGCTAAACCACTTTATCACCACTTTACCATCTTGCGGAAAGAAGGTAAAGATCAACACAAAGGTTTTTCTTTTGCTGGTGAGATGTATTGATTTTAAATGCTACAAAATAAGAAAAATGCTAATACAGTTTTTCTCAGTTGCTTTGGTTAAGTTTGTTTAACTCCTGTTTTGGGTAGACACCCATAAAGTCTAAGAGGAATGGATCTCTTAGAATATGTGTCCATGATTTTATAAGAGTAGAAGAGATACATGGTTTAAAAAACAGCCATTGTCCCACCAACTGAGAAGCAGTGCATTGGACTTACCTAGTATAATGCCATTGGGGCTGGTAGGGGGCTGCCAGACCACCCGTACTGAGGTCAGCCGGACCTCAGGGAAGACCACTCTGACCGGAGGCCCCGGGACTGTACAGGAGGAAAGGCAAATTATTTATGCTCACACACAGAATAAACTCAATAAATGTTTACTAAATAAAATGTGGGATAGTTCAACATAGGTCTAGTAAAGTATTAGTTTCCAAGCATATGAGGTGAATGTATGACCTTTTTTTTTTTTATAACACTGACCAAACAAAGCTCTCGGTATCAATCCTAGTTTGGGAACCATTAATTAGAGATTCTAAGTTTCACAACAATTTAATTTAAAAGTGCAATAAACTTCTCTGACAATCAATATGCCATGAGAATTTAGAACTGTCTGATTGGTCCAGTCTATTATCAAATTCATGGACCAAGGCTTCATTGATTTTCTTTAACACGAAACTAAATGTTTTCATTCTGTTAAAACATCCTTCCAGGGATTAGGGCTCTAACGTACACTTCTCACCTCACCTGTCAAAACAACTGAATACAATACATCAGTATTTGCTTTGCACGATGCAGACTCTTGACACACGTACACAGTAGATAATAATGATGTATCAGTTTTATAAAGCAATTTTTTGGACCCTCAAAGACATTTATTTCACGCCATACAAAGTGGTGATAAGCCACTACTGTGGTCACAGTTGCCCTCCGGCACACTAACAGAAGCGAGGTAATTGTAGATTTCAATGTCTATGCTTTGTGTGATATGGGTTGAGAGGTGCTTTGTGTTTCCTTGTTATTCCGTTTTCTCGCTAACAAAGTTGATCAGCTCTTCTTACCACCTCCATTCATTCACACCACACTTCTTCTAAACAATGTGGGTGCAGTGTCTTGCCAAAGGGCACAACAACGGTTTTCAGTTTACAGCTGCAGTCGCCCCACTGTGGAACCTTGTGTTCCCATAGGTCTCCCATCACAGTACTGACCAGACCATGTCCTGCTTAGCTTCAGGGGTCTAACATGATCTGGCTTTCACATGCAGGTATAGACATGTTAAACAAACACATTTGAACATGTTAGTATGTGGGGAATGTATTATTGGCAGACCCACCGTCCTCTCTGGTCCTCAGCAGTACAGGGGCACTCAGGGGTCCGTCCCCAGAGCGCGTGAAGGCCAAGACCCTCAGCTCGTAGCCCGTGTACTTTAGCAGGGGGGATAGCATCACCGACACACGGCCCTCTCCAGAGACCAGCTGCTCCCGGCGGGGGGACACCAGGTCACGCTCGTTGTAGAACACCTTCAAGCACACAGAGAATAGAGCATGTGAGAGATGGCCGCACACAGGGAAAGTCTTTCCGAAAACACATTTAAAGCTGGGGCACCTAACTTTCAGACCACAAAGAAATGAACAATGTATTTTTGAGTTAATCACTTGCTTGGTTCTATCACTCTTTTTCACATGCCTGTATGTTTTGGCCTCTGTTACAGCTTTAAATCAAAATTTTCAGAGAGAAAAAAGAAAAAAAATCAGAAGGACAAAAAGGATATTTTACAAGTACACAATGTTTTTGAATAAAATGAAGACCAAATGTTGTGGTCTGATTTGTTCACCACCTTTTACTTTTAAGAGTATCCTAGCTAGAGTAAAAACAGCATGGAATCTGATTGTTTATTTCTCAAATGCGTAATGGCTGCAAACAAAATATGTAATTATAAAGAACATTATTTCATTTGAGCAATTGCCAATATGAATGTAGGGGAAATACTTTTGTTTTAAAAGGCAGAAAACTGGGCTTACACTGGTGGTTAGCATACATTACCAAACACAGAATTATTTTCTGTTTAGTTTCAGTTAATCAATTCATTTCAGACATTTTTGACGATTCAAAAACAATTACAGGGAGTTGGAGGAGGAAAAAAAGGTCAAAATAAGTTCTGAAAAAGGAATAGGCAGAAAGTAAAACTAATAGGCGCCTATACTCTTTAGTGTACATTAAAGTGAAACAATAAATCAGTTTGTGTCATCATTTATAAAGAAAGCTTTCTTGTAAGCAGAATCTATTTCTCCAACAGCCTTTAGCCAAAAGAGGGTGGTTGGCGGTGATCGAAAAAGCCACCGACTTTTATGACATAAAATCGTATATGCTGAAAACCTCTCGTGGAAACCATTTGCTGACTTCCATTACTCCACTCCTCCATCACCTCTGAACGTGTCATCATTGCGACTGTTCAAAAGCTGGAGGTGCTGGATGGAGCGTTGGCTGGTGGAGTACATGTCTATTATTAAAAGCAAACAGGCAGAGCGTTGGCCCCATGGGGAACCTGCGTGGTTTCGACTGAGAGCGAGAAACACGCACAAGGCTGTACTTCATTTCACATTTTGCAAAATATCAGCGGCTTTCACATGGACCAGCTCAAGAAAAGTAGAAAATTGTCTAGGTAATATTTATAATTTGTAAAAGGCGAAGAGTGAAGGCGTTAAAACCCCTCGCCAGACTATTTTTACACTTTTCTAACCACCTGAACTGACAACTGCTGAAGTGCGACGGTGGACATATAAAATCTGTTGGTTGTAGGGCTGAGTGCTGCTGCTGCTGTCAAAAGCCACGCATACACTGTAAAATACAGCTGCAGAGAACACCGCAAAATTGCAATTGATTTCAATAGTTGACTATTCTTATTCTTATATTCTTAATATTTTTCTAAAGGGTAAAATGCTGTAATCCAAATGCTGTGAATAAAAAAATCAACATGACATTTCAAGACCCTGGACATAAGTTCCATAGCGTTTGGATATGATGAGCATTGACGTTGCTGACCTTGTACCCCAGGATGATCCCGTTCTTCTGGGCCTTCAGCACCGGGGTCCAGGTCAACAGGATCTTACTGGAGCTGATGGCCTCTGCGGTCACATTCTGAGGAGGTCCAGATGGAACTGAAACAACACGCGACAACCTCAGTCATAGGGTGAAAAAAGAAAACATAAGAATCGAAAAATGTGACCGTTGTGTAGTTGTTTTTCCTTGTATAAGTAGTGTGTAAAGACATTTCAGCTACATTGTAAAATAAGTACCTTTTGTCAACATAAAGACTGCACTTGAATATAAACCGCGTGTTGTCATGTTGTAATGCAACTGAGGCAAAACAAAGCTGAAAGACACTGATTTTATGATAATGCACTGTTGACTCATGATATTCCAAGCAAATAATATTTTTAGACAATAAACATGCGCCCCATCCTTACTAAAACTTGAGTCAAAATAAAAGGTCCATAAGCAGTTTTGACAATCGCCCTAATCACATAAAAATAAGTCCTGTGTATTTCCCAGCCCTTCCTTGTGTCTCTCTGCTGTTCACAAAACCAGGCAGCGGGGATATGTGGTAAGCTGATTGAAGGAGGATTTGGGAAACAGTTTTAATAAAATTAAATTAAATTTGCCAGATAGCTACTATAGTTCAGCAATTACTGTAGCTATTTTCTGGGGTTTCAGAGTTAGGTACTCCAGTTAAGATTTTTTTTGCCCGGTTGCAAATTACAACCACATGTTTATTACATTTGTCAATAAGTACACTGCAACTCCCATTTGTCAATATGTACACTGCATTTCATAAATGTTTTACCATAGAGTTCTGTTTGTACCAAAGTGAATCAGCACAGCCAAAGAGTCCAAGTGACTCACAAAAGTAAGCAAACATTCAAATGTGAATTAACTAGACATAGACCGTTCTGTTATGTCCTTTTAATAATCATTCTGGAGGGAAAACAAAAGTTGCAAACATGAAAGTAAAAAGCTTTCAGTCAAGAAAGTGTGATAAACCCTTAGCTCTTACCAGACTCTGTAGTCATGGCTGGCAGTGTGTTGCTCCAGGGCCCTGCTCCGATGGAGTTGTAAGCCTGGATCTGGGCCTGGTAGTGCGTCCAGGGACTCAAACCCTCCACGGTGCAGTCTGTGGCGTTCACCCCTTCTATCTCCACAGTGCGCTCGTCGCCCTGCCCATCGTTCCTCCACACGCGCAGACGGTAGCCCATAGACTCCGGACTGCTGTTGTACTCTGACTCCTCCAGGGGCTGAGATCATTTAAAGCAGATTCATTATACAAAATCTTTGCTTTTTTCTCTTCTTTTGTATTAAATTTGTTTACATAATGAAACAAAAACAATGTGTTTAACCATTATGCAGCATTGTTCCCTCATCAAAAACAGACCTTATTAGCATATTAGCATGAATGAAGCTGTTGTTTTGAGCTTCATCCATGCTAATATCAGTCAATGGTTCATATATGTAACTCCGCCCATTCTGTCTAAGGGGCGACAGTAGCTCAATTGGTAGAGCATTGGTTTTGGACCTTATGGTCATGGGTCCCACCAAGACCCTTATCATCTGATCCCACTGATGTCTGCTGCCGTTGTGTCCCTGGGCAAGACACTTAACCCCACTTTGCCTGAAGTCCCTGCTGAAAGATCAAGGCTGTATCTGCGTTGAGGGAGCAGCTATCTTCCTGTGGACCCACCACCTGCAGAAGGATCAGCAAGAGACTGGTGCTTTGTGAATTGGGTGGCAGCTCTGATTGCCATCCCCACCCCCTGAACCCCGAAATGGGTAACAAAGGGATGAAAATGAATGAATTCTGTCTAAATTCAAGCTCAATTTTGGTACGCTAGCTACAATGAACTCATCATTACATACTCTTACTACATCATGCTCAGAGCTTTTTTTTTATGTATTTTCTACAAAAGTAATTTGGAAAAAATACATAAGAAAACATTTGTGGGGTGAAAGGTTTTATATTTAAAAAATCGATTTCATATTCTAAAACATGTATCATGTTTAAAGACCAAAAATAATGCATACTGTTTCATGTGAAGGAGAGGAGTAATCTAATAAGACGGATGGGACAAAGATAAGAGGTGATATTTCCATAATATTATAATATTGGGATCACATATCAGTAGAAAAGATAATATTTAGTACATTTGAATTCTCAATATTGGTAAAATACAATGAAAGAAAAAGAAACCAGATCTGTGCAGCATGATCACATTGAAGGCCCTACTCCAATGTAACAAAAAAGTTTTTTTAAAAGGTAGGTAGATCAAGTCAGAGATGCACAAATGTTTTGTTCTTGTTGAGGAAGGCTTTGATAGAATAAGACAAGAAGAGTAAAAACTATTTAGAGTAGCCCCATTGTTGGGGCGGTTAAGTAATTACTGAAAAGGGTATGAAACACGCATGTCTCCTTAAAAGTCCACTCATATTTCACAAGATTGTTTGGTTCATTGATCGGCGCTTACCTTCCACCGGATCCTGAGGCTGGTCTGTGAGGAGGCCTGTAGGTTGAGCTGGGTGGGGGGACTGTCAGGTGAGTCCTGCAGGGTCTGGATGGTCCTGGAGGGGCTGCTTAGAGGACTGGTACCTACGATGTTCAGCTGCCTCATCCGGAACCTGGAAAAGGAGAGACCAAGACTCAAAACATATATGAATACCAGAGCACAACATCTGCATTTAGAACATAGCCTAAGGTTACTCCCAGAGAAAAGTGAAGTCAGTCAAAGTCTAATTAAATTAAGGGTTTGAAAAATCCTAGATTATTGTGGCTGGTCCTAGAATGTGGCTGGTCCCACCCATCTCAGGTGCTGCCAGTCCCAATCAGTTCTCCCATTGGCTGGATCCTGAAAGGAAGAGAAAGCCAGCAGCAACACACAAAGCAGACAAGACTGGGGTCGTCACAATTATCTTGACGACGTTGTCCCTTCCCTTCCCTTACTGCTTAGGTGTAGCGGTCCAGTTCTCAGCGTGAGAAAGCGAGGAGTTTGAAGTTACAGACTTGAAAACCAGTTCATCTGAAACTCCCCGAGGTGTCACTACTGACAGAGTAATCCCTGGGAAAGGACTCTCAGGCACTTAGTCAGGCTCACACAGACAAAGGAGTGCGCGCTCACAAAGACTAGTACGAAGGCTGGAGTCAAATTCAGCGTGAAATAAAATAGTTGGATGTACATCAATATGGGAAAAAACAAGAGAGCGTTTAGAAAGTATGTTATCATGTTGTCAGGTTCATTTAAAGTTTTACCTACCTTTAACACTCTATTTATTAAGCACTCAAATTTAATAATAATAATAATACATCGGTTTTAAATAGCGCTTTTCAAAAACTCAAAGACACTTCACAATTCAGGATACACACGTTGAGACAGACACAAAACTAAAAATCTAAAAGCAGGAAATAAGAGTATAAAATTGAAACTAAGAGTGATATGCTTGGAGAAAGAGGTGAGTTTTTAGTTTTTTGAAGGAGTTCAGTGAGTCCGAGTTTCTGAGATGAGTGGGGAGAGAGTTCCAGAGAGTGGGAGCAGAGATGGAGAAAGCTCGGACCCCAAAGGTTTGGTGCTTGGATTTGAAGGTGGGAGTGAGGAGATGTGAGTCTGCAGATCGGAGTCGACGTGAGGGACTGTAGGGCTGTAGTTCAGTGAGGTATGGAGGAGCGAGGTTATGGAGGGCTTTGTAGGTAATGAGGAGGATTATGAAATGGATGCGCTTTTGATGGGAAGCCAGTGGAGTTTATGAAGGACAGGGGTGATGTGTTTTCTGGAGCGGGTCTGAGTGATGAAGCAGAGTTTGCATTGTTAATACATTGAACTCATACCCATGGATCGGATCGCACATTATCTCCGGAACTTGCAAGCTAAAAGCTACCAAGCCACATTCAAGAACTTGTTTATTGTGCCAAAGAGGCTTTTATAAATCCTTGCTGATGTGTAGATCATGTTATTGAGTGCATTGGTGTAGACATTTAGTATTGTGACACCCAACCTGTGACATGCTGCAAAGTTGGCAAATTATTGTTATGTTGATGTGAGGGTTGATTTACACAGATTCTGGTGCAGTTTTCCTTGGAGCAGCAGAAAGTCATGTGATATCTGACTTATTTCCTCCCTCAACCCATCAGAAACTCTGACTCACTACGGAACTTTAAAGCACTTCTCAAAACCCATTTGTTTCAGCTTGCCCTTCCTTTTTGTTTGTATGTGTTTTGTAAAGCGTCTTTGAGTCTCCAAAAAGGAATCATATAAGTTTTTAATTTTCGAGTTTAAGTTTTAATTTAAGTTTTCCTTGTTTAAAAGCACACATATTGCAGTTTGAGATCTGGCTCTTACCTGTACTGGGTGAAGGGGCTCAGGTTGGGGATCTGTATAGAGTTGGTGTCGGGCTGATTCTCCTCCTGGTACAGAACTTTCCATGGCTCCTCTCTCCCGTCCTCCAGCACCACCTGCGCACAAGTACAAATGGACAAAGCTGGAATTGGCAGCTTACAGTCATCCACCCATACATACATCCATCCTTTTTCTTCCTGGTGAACCATTGTCGGGTTGCAAGGGCAGCTGTCTAGGCTAAAACACCCAAACTTCCCTATCCACACACACTTCCTCCCTACAGCCACATTGCGTATATACAGTACAACAGCCTTTTTTGATCTTCTTTGCTTAAAACAAATATGATGTGGTGATGTGATCAGCAAGATGAATCACGGTGCTTACATGATGCTGTTGAATATCACATTTTCTTTGATCTGCAGCAACTATTCCACAGTGTTTTATCACTTTATGTATATAAGCAGTCACGTTCACCGTATGAGAGTAGAGCAAACCCATTTAAAAACCTCTGCAAGGAATTTATATCAGAATTAATACAGTTTAAATTATCATGGACAAAGGAGCTGACCAATGACTTTTAGTGCCTCTCCATCACAACTATTCTCATGAAAGGTTATTTTTGTTTGTCTAGTTATTATTGGGCATTGGTTATCCTGCTCCCTATGGATCAATGGCTCCTATGTGTTTGTTATTATTGCCTTTGCTGTATTTGAATACTGTTTCATTCTCTGATTTGTTGTTGGCAAAACAAAAAACTTTGCAAAGTTCTCCAAGACAACTACGGTTTTGAATTCAGGCTATACAAGAAATACGAATGATTGAATTAAATTGAACGAAACCAGACATAGTCCCTCCACATTGTCCATGGTCTTCCCTAGGGTCTGACGGATTTTGTGGTCAAGTCATTGGTTTCATTGAGTGACTGATAAAAAAATATTTGATGTCTTGCAATCTTTGTGGGAATGTTTTTAATGTAGTCGCTTAGCAATTGAAGTGACTAAGTGAAGTGACTAATTGTTTGTACCTGTCCTTCTATGATCCAGGTGGAGATGACGGTCTTCCCGTCGGAGCCCGGTCTGAAGCGCAGGGTGGCTGTACGCGGGCTGATGTTGGAGATCACCAGGTTAGATGGAGCTCCAGGCAGTTCTGAATATACACACAATACACAAAACCTTATACAACTCTGATTCCATATGCAATGACACCCCTGCCTTTAAAGCGGCTAGGAGTAGCTAGGAAATAAAAAAAGCTTCACTGGGTGTAGCAAAATGAACATAGAGCTTTACGGCAAATAAACGCATTGTTTGAACATCCTACATGATTACAATTTGTAACGATGAATCCAAATCATATTCACAACTTTGAATGAAAAAAAATAAAATAATAACCCAAGTAACTTTTAATTATATCTAGTAATTAAATAAGTGCATTTATAAATCACCTTTGAAATGTTCTTTTGCAGAAACAGTTTGGTTGTTGCTCTAAACCTTATTCCTAATTACAGTAAGTCTTGATATCAGCGGTCCAATACTGACGAGTGCCAAACTCCTCTTGCACTCTGAATATATGAATACAAAACCAGTGCAGAATGACAACATTCCTGCCCCTCTCCTTCTCATCCACATATTCTTGGCTCATTTTACTCTAATTCATGAATGAATAAAATCTTTCTGAATACATCCATAGCCTATGTCTTGGTTTTTTACCTTGTGCCTTGATACATTAGTCATCACACAGTTTTTGAAAGGCTTTTCTTCTCTACATATCTTGTCTGTTTTTGTTCCGTTGGTTCGACTCTCTCTGCTTTTATGGATAATTCTGTGTTGTGTTTTGAATAATAAGGGTTAGGGTTAATGCTGTTATCATATGTTGTATAGCTGTGCTGATACACATGTCCTGGTATATGTATCAATTATATATATATATATATATATATATTATATATATATATCATCTGTTCCACCTGCTGCCCTCAGGCAGACGGTACAGCTCCACACAGGCCTGAACGAGACCAACAGCCTGTATCCTCCGGCTACTGACCACTGCCCCTCTCCCTTCTCTGCCTTCCCCCTATGGACAATACCCACACCCACCTTCGTCTGAACTGGACTCTGCACTGCTGTGTTCATTCGATCACATTCTCAATGTATCTGTTACTGTGTTGCATTATTGCATGGATTTTAAATTTGGTTGAATGTTTAAACTGGGGTATTTATGTATGGGGATTCTGGGGATATTGAGGCTCTAAACTGAATTATGTTGCTCTCTGCGACAATGACAGTAAATTGAATGTTGAATCTTGAAAACAGTGTCAAATATTCTAGAAAATAAATAAAGTTGTTGATTTATTAATGGATCAAATTAAATGACATTGCTGCTGTGTATTTCTTGTCGTTCTCTACTTGAGGTCTTTCCACAAATGCCCTGTATTATAATCCTATTATTAAAAGTGTCTATAAAACAGATCAGTCTGGCATTTTTGTGATTAAAGCTATAGGGTATCTCAGCCTTGGAATTCTCATGCTGCTGTGTGTGCTCAAATCCTTCCGAAATGTACAACTGCCTGGAACCTCGGGGGATACGTCAATACAATGGTGATGCACTATTCCTCAGACGGAAGATTGTAGTTTTGTTACAGATTCAACATGACATAATCTGGTGTAAGCCCAGCAAGACTACGTAACCACAAAGGATAATATAATAATATCCATGTAACAAGGTCCTAACTGACTGAAATGACTAATGAATGTTTGCTTGTTTTACACAAAAAAAGCTACATATTCCCTGAAAGTGAACCAGATCTGGTCCAGGTAAATTGATCCGGACCAACAAGTGTCTGTGTGTTTGTTTTATACCTGGTGGAACCCCTGTGGAAATGGTGGAGGTGGTGACAGCCCCTCGGCCCGCTGCAGTCAGTGCTGCCACCTGCAGGCTGTAGGTGGTGGTGGAGGTGAGGCCGCTCAGGTGGTACTGCAGGGTGGAGTTGGACAGGGCCTTTTCCTGCGCACTGGACTCTGCGCCGGAAACTTCCCACCTCAGTACGTACCCTATGACCACACACACGTTCTGATTAATCTGTGAATTGCATTATGTGAGTGGTCCTCTGTGCTAGACTAGCTGATTTATTTCCATATCGCTTTATATCCATTAGTGGACTGATGAAGGTCAAGTGTGTGTGTGAGAATGTAAAAATCTTACAGTGTCACAATTGCATATACTTCATTTGATTGTCATTTAAATTTGTATTTTTGTTTGGTTAATTTTTGTTTTCTAATTTTGTGTGGGTTTTTTTATTACATAGTGATTTTGTCTATATTTTGTTTGTTTTGTTTTTTTAAATTGTATTTATTTAGAGCAAGTAAGTAGTTAAGAAATAATTAGTACAAATTAATCACAAGCAACGTAGGTACATTTACAAAATATAACAAAAAGAGTAATGACAAAGAGAGTAAATCATACAAACATAACACTTATGGTTGCTCGAAAAGGAGTGGGAAGAAGTAAACACTTATTTAATCCCACCCCTAATTACTTCAGTCATTACAAAGGTAAAGTAAAGGCTTCCTATTGGCTCCAACGTAAATTTAGCACAGATTGCAATATCTAAACATCTTGATCATAAGCAGAATAAGTTTTGAGAATGTCAACAAAGGACAAATGTAAGCCCTATGAGGGCAGACAACTGCATGCAAAAAATAACAAAAAATACCAACAATGGTAAGGAAACATACTCTAAAATGTAAGTAACATTACATGCACAAGTACATGCCAACATGCGTCGAGAGAAAAGCTACATAGAAATACATTCAAGTCATAATCTCTCTGTATTCGGACCAGACATAGTTTTTAAATAATGACCACAGTTTCACACCACATACAGTCACACAAAAACTTTTACGAGTTCATCGAAATTTGGGAAGTTTAAAAATTCCAAGACCTCTTTAGATTATAGTTATTTTATTTAAGCACAAAATATTTTTGTATGTTATAAGGTAACATTTTGTGAAATGCTTTGAATGGCATGATGGCTGTGTAGAATTTTACGAGGTCCGGGAATTTTAGTATTTTTGATTTAAGAAAAAGTTTGTGAGTGTGATTCAAGTAGTTTATTTTATGAATGATCCGCAAGACATTGGTAGTTATATTTTGATTTTATTTCTTGCAGACTTGAATGATGATTACTTTTTTTTTTCTTATATTAGTATTATTATATCTTTCCATGCAGCCTTTTGGAGACTGTTCATGTAATGTGCTATATAAAAAAGTGGATTTGATCAGAACATGTGTGCATGTACAGAAAACACAGACTGTGCTATACAAGCAGGACTGAAAAGGCGCACTGAAGCATCTGGGATGTTAACAGATGTTCATGGTGGTAATTAATCTAAGCATTAACTTAAGTGCTATAAACAGTTGCTTTAACTTCCACTTTATTATGTCTAATAAAAACAAATTATGTAAAACCATACCAGTACTTTGGGAAAACATCTTGAACATTTCATTTACAGACGTGCAGAAACTGTGACGCAATTCAAATCATAGCAAATTGTCTCTTTTCTCTGTTCATATTCTAAACAAAATGTATCACTGCAGCAAAACAATATTAGTATGATGTTTTATCCTGTGCAATTAAATGGTAGTGATATCTATGAGGAAAGGTCCAGGGGTCTGATCTCTCTGGACACAGACTAACAGATACATTCAACATGATTTTGTGAACTATTGGGATCTATCAGGCGTCCCCAAGGTTTCTCACTTTTTACCCACTGTTTTTTTTTTTCTAAGAACAGTGATCAAACGGGACATTTAAAGACATTTATGGACATTTTTTTTACATTTATGGATATTGGTCACCCATCTTCCTATGGACCAATGGCTGTCCTGTGTTTGTAATTATTGCACTTCCTTTGTTAAAAGATTTGTGTGGTTACTTTAACAAGTAACTTCAGTTTTTGCTCCCACGCTCAATTACTAGGTACTTTTCAATCTGCTGTATGGAAGGAAAGTGGTCTGCCAGGTATCCAGAAACAAGCACACGCAAACAGACGGTGCCACAAACACACACCAAATAAATGTCTGGTTTACTTTGAACTAATACACAAAGCACTGCGTTCAAGCTAATGTAACACACTATGGTATTTCTGAATATCATTCTTTTCTAACACGGGAGGAGGTTGGAGTTCTGTCTCACAGCTGGGAGTTCACAGCTCAGTCTAAACTCAGAGTGACTGGCGACCACACATGGATGGAGCCTCAAGCTGAGGACACTCCACATGACACTGAGGGGAGAGAACACGGGAGAGAGTTATAGAGGGGAGAGAGGGAGGACGCAGCAGGTGCATTTTATCACTTTGATGTGGAGCCAGTGGGTTCCTATGGGAGATGGAGGGAGTGAATAACAGAGAGAGCTGCTGTTACACAGGACGGAGTGAAGTAAAACCAAACTCTGCTTCGACTGCTAATACACAAAGAGCATGGACTCAGTACCTGTGACGATGCCGTTCTTGTCCAGCGGCTCGGCCCAGCTCACTTTGAGAGACGTGTCCAGGATCTCTGAGAAGGTCAGCTGACGGACAGGTCCAGGGGCTACAGGAATGGCAATAGATGATTAATGGTACATCACATTGCAATCTTGAAGAAATATAGTTTCTTGTGATGGCCTAAAAACACACAGTCGAGTCAGTAAAAAGGTTCCTATCTATCTGGTGACTGAGCATTAAAAAAGGGCCTGATGCTCCACATACAAATATGAAATGTATACAAAAAGATAGAATAATGACAATTATATTGCACAAAAAAGTCAGATTCTATAAACAACTTTGATTTGATTTATCTGGAGCAGATACATTAAAATGAAAAGCAGGTAAGAGAGAGAGTGAGTGAATGAGTGAGTGAGGGCAAAGACTTTCTCTTCTTGCTGCAGCCACACCTCCAGGTGATACTGCACACCTGATTTAGTCTTAACCCAGTACGTCCACTAGATGGAGACAAAAGCGTCCAAGGGGACTGTGCAACTTCACTCTTCTATAATTTGGCTCCTACACACACTTTCCAGTTAAGACTACTGCCAGCTGATTCAGTTCACGTCATGGCTTGTCTAAAGCTTTCCAGTGACCATCTGAAAAATAGATCTGGGAGACATTTTGAGTGCAGAGTTGCAACCAAAGAACGCAACACCCACTGTGAAGCATACACATTATGGTCTGGTTCCGCTTTTCTGCAAAGCGGCTAGGGCGTCTGATCTGTATTAGGTAAAGGATGAATAGAGCCAAGTATCCTGCAGTGACATAATTGAAGATGAAATGTGCCTGGGTTTTTGAGCAAGACCTTGGTCCATAAACACACCACCCAAGCGATGAAGGAGTGACCGAGTCTCTTTAGAACATCTGCATGGAAGAATTGGGGGGAGAAAAACAGCTGCAGTACATGGAAGTCTGGTGAAGACCTCTGTCATTTCCAAATGATACAGTACAAAGTATTCAGAACACAGATGTTTAGTTATAATGGGTTTGTGTGTGTATTTAGCACCTGTTAGTTAACGTGTAAACAAACAAATGACAAATTAGGAAAAAAAACATATTCTCTTAATCTTATAAGACAATTACATGTTGTGGATGTTGGGGAATATCTTTGGGGCTTTTTGCATATCATAAGAAGTCAACGACAGGTATGACACATTTATCTGTGATTGGTTGTTAAGAGGTGGGATCAGATAGTACATATCTTGGGAGGCATCTTCAAAAACCTCCAAACCAGCGCTTCAGAAGCCATGTGCATCCTTTACCAGCACACGCAGAGCCCTTATCGGGTAAGAATTACACCCTTCATTAACCTTCCACACATTGTGCACTCAATCAATAGACATGGCTACTGGCCCGGCTAATGTGCCGTTGCCTCTCTGTAATCACTGCTGTCTGTTTGCCCTGGAGCTATTGTACATTTAACCATGTGTAGGTCAATAAGGGAGGGAAAGAAAACAAACAATACCACTATGCAGTAGTGCTATGCCAATGTAAAGATTTCAAACTCCATTTCAATGCTAGTTTTGAGACTACTTTTTTTCTTTCTTCTTTTTTCTCCATACCTCTTTGATTTCTTTTTGAAAATACTATGTGTTAAGATATTAGAACTAGGGCTGTCAAACGATTAAAATGTTTAATCAAGTTGATGACAGCTTAAAAATGAATTAATCGCAATCAACCGCTTTTCAAATTATTGGCAAAATTATGCCATATTTTTCTGTAAATGGTTGTTTGAATGTAAATGGCATTAACCTTATTAACATTTTGTCTTTCTATAGAAGACAGTATATTTTTAAGTTGTATTAAAAGTTAATTAAAAGTTGAGCTCATTGATTCAGCTTGTGTATGAATTCAGGTCATAAAAAGTGCTGAGTAGAAACTTTGCGTGAGGCTTGTTCTCCTAAGCCACGTCTCCTCTGGCGTTTGCTCCAAAAACATTGTAAAGCGCTTAATACTAATGGACTTTTAGGATTCCTGTGATCTGCTTCCTTTTCTCCACACTTATAACAAATATTGTTCATTTACTGTAACTTTAACACACATTATTGTTATTTTGCACTTTGATCATTTGGATGTGCTTCTGCTCTGGATTAATTCTCACATTGATAATTATTGAAAACCACCAACTGTTTGTTGCCTAAAGCAGTAAAGCAGTGGATCCAAGACTCACCCACTATACCCCGACTTTGTATCCCTGCCCTGATAGAATGAGCTCAGAGTTCCCAGTGCTGAGGAAGAACTTGTACAGGAACTCTTTTGAGTCAATTGTGCCATGAGGGAGATGAATAAAAAGCCTGGTGTTGTGTGGGAACTGCCTGTAATGAACTATATATGCACTGAAAAAACTTAAGTAATTGCATGTAAAGTTGTATAATTTGGTTATTCTGTTATTCCCAGCTCAGCCACACTCACCGTCTTCGTGTGTCTGCAGGAGGCTGGGCTGGCTGCGGGGCCCGTCTCCCGGTGTGGTGAAACACAACACGGAGCCATAGTACCAGGTGAACTTGGCCAACCCCTTCACCAGGCCGGTGTGTCGGCTGGCCGGGTAGTCTGGAGTGATGGGTACCATGGTGACGTCGTCTGGGAAGAGCTCAGGCCACACCATCAGCTGCAAAACAAAATAATAATGCAGTGGAGCACTACCAGCCCTGATGAAGACTAGAACAGGACAAACAGTGTCTCTTTTTTATTATTTAAAGCAGCAGGAATACCTAACTTTGAAAACACAAAAAAATATGTATTAATATCCGTGGTAATAGAGCAAGCGTTTACTTTCCAGGTAACTCCTCTGCCTTTCACGCAATAGAAGCCAGAGAGAGTTTCAGAAAAAACTTCACTCATGAGCACTTCTCTATTGGACTACATTGAGCTAGCAGGTTAGCATTGTCCATCTATATACAGTCCATGATTGGGACAAACAAAATGCATTAATGAAACAGCGGTATGTACTCCAGCTTTAGGCAAGTGGTTGGTTTTCTCATCGTTGGAATCTCATCAATTTCATGAATCAATTATAGCAACTTTCCCAGCCAATAGCGATAAGCGTTTACATCTTGCTAGAAACCAACATTTGCCAAACTCTACATCAAAACATTAAATCCCCTCTCAAGGTCTGCTAATTGGCATGTTTCATAACGTTCATATTTTTCCAGGAAAAGACACAGAGGCCCCCTATCTACAAAAATGCCAGGAAAATGTCCCAACTAAAACCATAATATCTGTAGAAAAAATTGTGTTAAATAGGTTGATTTATTATTACGGTCTTTACTTTTACTGCTATTTACACAGTTTTACAATGCACTTATAACCACAGCAATAAAGAATTAGGCTGTGAAATCTTTAAGTAAATCTTTAAATTCAATATATTTTGTCAATTCTTCTATTGTGTCAATTCAATTCAATATCCAGTACATTTGAAAGTATTTTGAGGTCCAATGGAGAAAAAACCAAAACATGATCTGATGAATGCTATAATGGCCCAAATGTCATGCAATACATCAAAAAACAGTACAGGATTTACCCACACGTACCTTGTATCCCTGGTTGATTCCGTTGATGAACTGCTGCGGAGGCGGACTCCATGTGAAGCGGATGGTGGTTGAGTTGACTGCTATTATCTGTACGTCCTGAGGGGGCGCTGTGGGCACTGAACACAGGCAGAAGAACATAATGACATAATGTCTGTTATAAAAACTGCCTGTGCTAAAAGTTAACATGAAAATGGACATTAGCATATTAAAATCCTCATTGTATCTACTTTTAAGCTCAGTGTAACCGCTGTGAGCCCATCATTTTTGATCAATTAAACATGCCCTGTAAAAGTCCTTCAAAAACTTTGAATAATGCATTACCAAAAGACCTTTAAACTTATGTAAGGTTAGAGATTGACATAACTAATGTTTTAATGGACATATTGAAATTCCGTCCATTTTAGCGCACAGAATTTTGCTGTCCTTGCAAAAGCTAAATGCCAACCCTGCAGGCTGCCCAGGCTGCACAATGAGCCAATTACTCATTAAAATGAATATGTCGTATTGTATTGTGCCCGCCTGTTTTGCATGCTAATTTAATTTTGGCAGTTAATAATATGTGTTTTTATTAAGCCTGTGTGACCTGTGCTGCAGCTGTCCTGTCTTATGGATCACATACAGGGTAGTGAATACATTACATGACTTTTGTGTTCTTAATTCGCAGCTGGTGGTGATTTAACTGACCTTTATCTGGCCATTATAGTCCAACAGAGATGGAGATGATGTATCAGGGGATATTTGTTTTTGTGAGGCTTTGCAGATTATTTTCATTATTGATTAAAACATACATGATCGAATTTTTTGATGAAAATGGCATGATTTCTCTGGGTTTAAGTTAGGACTAAAACAAAGTGTAAGACTACTTCTCATGTTTGTGTAGGGGAATATTCAAAACAGGAAGATTGCTCAACCATCATCTATACTTCAGTAAGCAGGTTTCCCGACGATTTTGAGAAAGTTCTTGAGAAAGTTCTTTGTACTTTAGTCAGCAGGTTTTCTGTCATGGTGTGGATTTTTACTTTTGTAATTTGGTTTTATTTTGACATAAGTTTGGTTTTAGTTGTACTTCCTGTCTTGTTCCCCTGTGTTGATTGTCTGCCCCGCCCTGATGTTTCACCTGTGTCTGTGTCTACATGTACCCAGTGCTCCATTCCTCTTGTTGCTGGTTCATTGTATTGTCTGTCCTTGTCAGTCTGTGTTCCTGGTTCTTGTTTGGAATTTTATTTGATTTCTATCATTTAACCATTTTTGTTTTTCGCATTCCTGCATTTTGAGTCCTCCATCACCTCACCACATGACAGTTTTCCCTGTGTTTCGTTCTTAATCCAGATGATGGGTGAGCAATCTTCTTTTGTTTTACTTCTAATGCAGTCTCTCTACATGAGGATACAAGATAACAGTGCATCATAACTTTTGCAGTGTCTTTAATGTGACGCTTCACTGATGTTGTATAAAGTGTGCAAACTCCTATTTCAACTCAATAAAGATAACTTGAATATGTTACTGTAGTATTGAGCCATGAATGCCATAAAGTGCTGAATGTTGGAGATGTTATTTCTTTGCTTGGACTGCACTTCGGTATGATAACCCTAACCTCTGCCCAGACAGGAAAGCGATCACCCGCATTTGTCTGTGTCTTTGTCTGCATTTTACACTCGTCTCAGCTCTCCACAGATATCTATGGGGCGACAGTAGCTCAGTTGGTAGAGCATTGCCCTTCGAGCCCGACTTTCACCATCGACTCCCACTGTCTGATGTCGTTGTGTCCTTGGCAAGACACTTAACCTCTGGGAACACCAGCCACAGTGGGGCGGCTGCGACTTTAAAGTGCCAAACTGCTGTTGTGTCCTTAGGCAAGACACTTCACCCCCATTGCCTAGAATGAGTCTGGTGTGTGTGAATGGTTGGTGGTGGTCGGAGGGGCTGATGGCACATACTGGTTGCCTCGCTTCTGTCAGCTGTGGCTACAGTAGTAGTTTATCACCTTTGGGTATGGAGTGAATGAATAATGACATGTAAAGTGTCTTTGAGTGTTCTCTAAAAAGTTCTATATAAAACCGATGCATTATTATTATTATCACCTGCAATTTGTGGAGTTCCTCATTCCCTCCAATGCAAATAGAATAGCGTCATGCCATACTGAGTAACATTCCAGGCACAGCAGCATTTTATAGACCCGAGCAAAAAGCAGACCCTCCACCAGGACAGTCCTGTAATCTCTTATAATTGACAAAGACAGCAGCAGAGAAGAAAGAGAGGAAGTTGGACGCACAGTGCTAAATCTGGTTCATTCCTCAGAGTGGGTTTTATTTGGACTTTTATTGCGGTTATTAAAGATCAGCGCAGCCCCACACACAAGCACGCTCGCCGAAGTAAAGATCTGCTCGTTATTACAAGAGCGGGCGACAGTTTTATAGACTCAGGATGCACTGTGCTCGTTCATTATTCTAATACGCTTTAATAGGAACGTAAAGCAGGCTTGGGAAAGGGCAGGGGAGCTAAAGGCTACGTAGCAAATCAACAAAACACAGAATGCAAACAGAACAGCAAGGATTTATGTGGCTCTGCATTTGAAATATTTTTAAAGCATCACAATAATGCAATATTGTCCCTTTGATCATTTAATAGTAGATTTTAATTTTGTGAGACTGATTTTTCCTGATGCAAAAGTAATTTTTTGGAAAATACTGTAGTTTAATTTTCTGATCCACAGCATGGCCCACTGGGAAGCAGCTAAGTGCACATGCAGTACACCAGGAAGTATTCCACCTCTACATTTGAAAATAAGTTATGCAAACAATACAATTGCAAAAACCAAAAAAGAGTTAAAGGCACAGTACAGAGGTTGTGCAAAATAAAAGAGCAGAATGTTTTCTTAAGGCGCATTCCTAGGCTGGTTTTGGCTCTTTTCTTTTCTTTTTCTTTATTCACAAACAAACTAATAGAGCCAAACACATATAAATTAGGGATGTGAAGATTCACCGATTCGCATCGGTGGTCCGATACAAACGTCTGCGATGCAACTACACGGATACATTCAGGGCGCGTCGGATATAATTTAGGGGTGAATTTGCGGTGCATCTCTTCCAGCCTGTCTGCATCGGTAGATTCCATGGTTAAATCGACTCTCTTCGCTGCCCTGTCATATTTCAACCTGAATGCACCATCGCTTCCTCGGGCTCTGACGTAAGCTTCGGGTCCAAAACAAGCATGAACGCTCACAAAATAAACGGCAAAGAGATTTTTAATGGCCCCAAAAAAAACAAGTCAAGCGTGCGGAAATGCCGGGCGCCGCCTACAACAAACCTGGCAACGCATCTGAGAAGACGGCACGGCGTGGATACCTCCGCGGCTGCTACCCCCTACTCTCCTTTGGATTATACCGAAAGTCGGCGACGCGAGCAGTAGGTCTATCACAAACTTCTTTGGTCAAAACACGCCTCAAGCAGCTAACTCTGCCCGCTCCCAGGCCTTAACTGATGCTATGATAAGATAAGATAAGATAAGATACTGTATAATTTATCACACAGGAGAAATTTACTGCTATAGCAGTTAGTCTACTTCATCTCCAAAGATATCCAGCCCTACAGCGTTTTAGAGAATGAAGGATTCAAATAAAGAAATACTCTGTACATACTGAATGTTTTTTTCAAATAGGATTTCTTGGTTTGCTCCATAATAATAACAGTAATAATAATATATCGGTTTTATATAGCGCTTTTCAAGAACTCAAAGACGCTTCACAAATTCTAATAACCAAAACCAAATATTAAATACATCCCTCATATTGATAGAGTAAAGCAGAATTTGAGGTAAGAAACCTGATGTGGGCATATACTCTCATACTAACTGTATCGAACAGGATCACATCATGTCAAACCGAATCCCGTTGCAAATCAGTCATATCGTTATTAAATCATCTTTCGTGCATCGTATCGTGAATAGGAATAAATCGTATTGTATCGTATCGACAGGGACTTCAGTGTATTGTTAATGTATTGAATCGCTGGTAGTGTATCGAGATGTGTATCGAATCGGCCTCAGTGGTGGAGATATACATCCCTAATATAAATGAAAGCAGACACAGAGGAACCAGTTGAGGTGGCTCGGGCATCTGTTCCGGATGCCTCCTGGACGCCTCCCTGGGGAGGCCCCGCGGAAGACCCAGGACACGCTGGAGGGACTATGTCTCTCAGCTGGCCTGGGAACGCCTGGGGGTCCCCCCGGACGAGCTGGAGGAAGTGTGTGTGGATAGGGAAGTCTGGGCGTCTCTGCTTAGACTGCTGCCCCCGCGACCCGGCAACGGATAAAGCGGAAGAAAATGGATAAGAGTGCATATTACATATGGCCCTTTTAAGACGTGATGATAACAACGAGGATACCAGTGCAGTTGCATCCACACATCTGATAGTGAAATAATAACAATAACAATGCCTTGCACTTCTAAAGCACTTTATAGTCTGGTTTAGGTCAAAGTGTTGTGCTTAAGGACACAACAAAATGTTAGCACTTGAACACACACTAGACTCTTTCTAGGCAATGTGAATGAAGTGTCTGCCCAAGGACACAACAACAGTTTGGTTATCCCACTATGGCACCTTGTGTTGCTAGAGGTCTCCCATCACAGTGCTAACCAGAATCTGCTCAGCTTAGCTTCTGAGATCTGATGTGATTGGGCTCAATTTCTTGAAATCATCGCCCAACTTGAGTTGAACACATTTCAATTATTATCACCTTCCTCCTTCATACTCACTGCTAGTGACTTGAGACTGCAGGGATATAAAATGATAAAAACAACACCGAACGTGAACGTTTTAACCAGGATGCTGTGCTAGCAATTCTGATGAGGACTAATGAACTAAAACATATAAAAAAGACCATCGCAACTCATATCAGCATGTTTACACTGCAGCCATGTTTAATGAGGAAACACTGTTGTAACTTGGGCTGGGTACGTTTCAGAGCCAGCCAACAACCTCCTGTGGGCCCACCACCTGCAGAGGGGTCCGTGGTGAAGCGGTGCAGAGAGGACTGGGCGGCAGTCGAAGGCGGAGACCTCGGCGACCCAGTCCGCACACACAACATCTGGCTCTTGGGACGTGGAACGTCACCTCACTGGGGGGGAAGGAGCCCGAGCTCGTGGGGGAGGTTGAGCGATACCGACTAGAGATAGTCGGCCTCACCTCCACACACAGCTTGGGCTCTGGAACCCAACTCCTTGAGAGGGGTTGGACGCTCCACTTTTCTGGAGTTTCCCGCGGGGAGAGGCGGCGAGCTGGGGTGGCCATTCTCATTGCCCCCCATCTCAGCCGCCACGTGTTGGAGTTCTCCCCGGTGAATGAGAGGGTCGCGTCCCTCCGCCTCCGGGTGGGGGACAAGTCTCATTGTTGTGACGGCCTACGGGCCTAACAGCAGTGTAGAGTACCCGGCCTTCTTGGAGTCCTTGGGAGGGGTACTGGACGGTGCACCGCCCGGGGACTCCGTTATTCTCCTGGGGGACTTCAACGCCCATGTGGGAAACGCCAGTGACACTTGGAGAGGGGTGATCGGGAAGAGCGGCCCCCCTGATCTGAACCCGAGCGGTGCTCAGTTGTTGGACTTCTGTGCCAGTCGCGGTTTGTCCATCACGAACACCATGTTCGAGCACAAGGGTGTCCACCAGTTCACGTGGCACCAGGACACCCTAGGCCGGAGGTCGATGATCGACTTTGTTGTCGTATCATCTGACCTTCGACCGCGTGTCTCGGACACTCGGGTAAAGAGAGGGGCGGAGCTGTCAACCGATCATCACCTGGTCGTGAGTTGGATCCGCTGGCAGGGGAAGAAGCCGGTCAGACCTGGCAGACCCAAGCGTATAGTGAGGGTCTGCTGGGAACGTCTCGCTGAGCCCCCTGTCAGACGGACTTTCAACTCACACCTCCGGGAGAGCTTCTCCCAGGTCCCGGCGGAGGAGGGGGACATGGAGTCCGAGTGGACCATGTTCTCTGCCTCAATCGCCGATGCGGCGGCTCGTAGCTGTGGTCGCAAGGTCTCTGGTGCTGGTCCCGGCGGCAACCCCCGAACCCGGTGGTGGACACCGGCAGTAAGGGATGCTGTCAGGCTGAAGAAGGAGTCCTATCGAGCCATGATGGTTCGGGGGACTCCTGAGGCAGCTGTCCAGTACCGGCAGGCCAAGCGTGCCGCGGCCCGGGCTGTTGCAGAGGCAAAAACCCGGGACTGGGAGGAGTTCGGAGAGTCCATGGAGCATGACTATCGGTCGGCCTCGAAGAGATTCTGGCAAACCATCCGGCGCCTCAGGAGGGGGAAGCAGTTCTTTGCCAACACCATGTACGGTGCGGGTGGAGAGCTGCTGACCTCGACTGGGGATATTGTCGGGCGGTGGAAGGAATACTTTGAGGTTCTCCTCAATCCCCCCGTCACGTCCTCTGTTACAGAGGCAGAGGCTGAGGATGTTGGGGCGGGTACATCCATCTCCCTGGCTGAGGTCACCAAGGTGGTTGGTAGCCTCCATGGTGGCAAGGCTCCGGGTGTGGATGAGATCCGCCCTGATTATCTAAAGTCTCTGGATGTTGTAGGACTGTCTTGGCTGACACGTCTCTGCAACATCGCGTGGCGATCGGGGGCAGTGCCAATGGAGTGGCAGACCGGGGTGGTGGTCCCTCTCTACAAGAAGGGGGACCGGAGGGTGTGTTCCAATTATCGTGGGATCACACTCCTCAGCCTCCCCGGTAAGGTCTACTCCAAGGTACTGGAGAGGAGGTTACGGCCAATGGTCGAATCTCGGATCCAGGAGGAGCAGTGTGGTTTTCGTCCCGGTCGCGGAACACTGGACCAGCTCTATACTCTCCATCAAATACTCGAGGGTTCATGGGAGTTCGCCCAACCTGTCCACATGTGCTTTGTGGATTTGGAGAAGGCGTTCGACTGTGTTCCCCGGGGTGTCCTTTGGGGGGTTCTCCGGGAGTACGGGGTCGGAGGTCCTCTGCTGAGGGCCATCCGATCCCTGTATGACCGGAGCCAGAGCTGTGTTCGCATTGCCGGCAGTAAGTCAGACCTGTTCCCGGTGAATGTTGGCCTCCGACAGGGCTGCCCTTTGTCACCGGTTCTGTTCACTGTATTTATGGACAGAATATCTAGGCGCAGCCAGGGGTCGGAGGGGGTCCGGTTCGGAGACCACAGGATTTCATCTCTGCTGTTTGCGGACGATGTTGTCCTGTTGGCTCCAACGAACCAGGACCTGCAGCATGCACTGGGACGGTTTGCAGCCGAGTGTGAAGCGGCTGGGATGAGAATCAGCACCTCCAAATCCGAGGCCATGGTGCTCGACCGGAAAAAGGTGCCTTGCCCTCTGCAGGTGGGTGGAGAGGTCCTTCCTCAAGTGGAGGAGTTCAAGTATCTCGGGGTCTTGTTCACGAGTGAGGGAAGAATGGAGCGTGAGATTGACAGGCGGATCGGTGCAGCGTGCGCAGTTATGCGGTCGCTGTATCGGACCGTTGTGGTGAAGAGGGAGCTGAGCCGAAAGGCAAAGCTCTCGATTTACCGGTCAATCTTTGTTCCCTCCCTCACCTATGGTCATGAGCTTTGGGTAATGACCGAAAGAACGAGATCGCGGATACAAGCGGTCGAAATGAGCTTCCTCCGCAGAGTGGCTGGGCGCTCCCTTAGAGATAGGGTGAGGAGCTCAGTCACACGGGAGGAGCTCGGAGTAGAACCGCTGCTTCTCCACGTCGAGAGGAACCAGTTGAGGTGGCTCGGGCATCTGTTCCGGATGCTTCCTGGACGCCTCCCTGGGGAGGTGTTCCGGGCACGCCCCTCCGGGAGGAGGCCCCGCGGAAGACCCAGGACACGCTGGAGGGACTATGTTTCTCAGCTGGCCTGGGAACGCCTGGGGGTCCCCCCGGACGAGCTGGAGGAAGTGTGTGTGGATAGGGAAGTCTGGGCGTCTCTGCTTAGACTGCTGCCCCCGCGACCCGGCAACGGATAAAGCGGAAGAAAATGGATAAGAGTGCATATTACATATGGCCCTTTTAAGACGTGATGATAACAACGAGGATACCAGTGCAGTTGCATCCACACATCTGATAGTGAAATAATAACAATAACAATGCCTTGCACTTCTAAAGCACTTTATAGTCTGGTTTAGGTCAAAGTGTTGTGCTTAAGGACACAACAAAATGTTAGCACTTGAACACACACTAGACTCTTTCTAGGCAATGTGAATGAAGTGTCTGCCCAAGGACACAACAACAGTTTGGTTATCCCACTATGGCACCTTGTGTTGCTAGAGGTCTCCCATCACAGTGCTAACCAGAACCTGCTCAGCTTAGCTTCTGAGATCTGATGTGATTGGGCTCAATTTCTTGAAATCATCGCCCAACTTGAGTTGAACACATTTCAATTATTATCACCTTCCTCCTTCATACTCACTGCTAGTGACTTGAGACTGCAGGGATATAAAATGATAAAAACAACACCGAACGTGAACGTTTTAACCAGGATGCTGTGCTAGCAATTCTGATGAGGACTAATGAACTAAAACATCTAAAAAAGACCATCGCAACTCATATCAGCATGTTTACACTGCAGCCATGTTTAATGAGGAAACACTGTTGTAACTTGGGCTGGGTACGTTTCAGAGCCAGCCAACACAGTGGGGAAAAAGTATTCAATCAGCCACCAATTGTGCAAGTTCTCCCACTTAAAAAGATGAGGAGGCCTGTAATTTTCATCAAAGGTAATTCCTCATTTATGAGAGACAGAATAAGAAAACAAAACAGAAAATATTTAAAAATCACTTTTTGAATAACTTATTTGCAAATTATGGTGGAAAATAAGTATTTGGTTAATAACAAAAGTTCATCTGAATACTTTGTTGTATACCCTTTGTTGGAAATGACAGAGCTCAAACGTTTTCTGTGAATCTTCACAACATTTTCACACATTGTTTCTAGTATTTTGGCCCATTCTTCCACGCAGATCTCCCCTAGAGCAGTGATGTTTTGGGGCTGTCGCTATGCAACATGGCAATATACAAATCCCTCCAAAGATTATCTATGGGGTTGAGATGTGGAGACTGGCTAGGCCACTCCAGGACCTTGAAATTCTTCTTACAAAGACACTCCTTCGTTGCCCGGACGATGTGTTTGAGATCATTGTCATGCTGAAAAAGCCAGCCACGTGTCATCTTCAATGGCCTTGCAGACGAAAAGAGTTCTTCATTCAAAACCTTACGATACATGGCCACATTCATTCTTTCCTTTACACTTCTTTTGGCTCACCGTTCCTGTGATCATTTTGACCACACAGGGTGAGACCCAATACTTATTTTCCACCATGATTTGCATAAATTATTTAAAAGTTAGACAATGTGATCTGAAAGTTAAGATTTAACGATGACAATAGTTGTATATTGAAGTGTACTATCAAGTATGATTTAGAATTTTGAATCATCTGTAAAAATCAACAACCAAGGTCTTGAGGCAACCCTTTCCATCAACATGACCCTAAGCATGTGTTGGTTGTTCTCCTTACCTCCCTGCAGTGTGTACTCTGTGACAGGACTACTGTAGACCCCCAGTCCAACGACTGTGTACGCGGCCACTTGGATCTGGTACTGGGTCCAGATGATGAGGTCTTTGAGCAGGCAGTAGTTGGTCTCAGGGCTGGTGATGTTCTTCTCCTGGTAGTCTCCTGGGAGACCTGCCAGACGGTACCTGTGCACCAGACGAGCAGTAATGTGACCAACTATTCAAGCTTTCTCTTTTGTATATTAATAACATCAGACATCTAAAACATATTTATCTACTCTTACATTTTCTTTTTACAGTTGTGCTTGATGGTTTACATACTCAGGATGATTTTTTTGGAGAGAGATTATGAATAAGAATGCAATAACTATTATTTCACTCATTGTCTGGGTTGTGTGGAAGGTATTTACTGTCAAATTAACATTTGTTCTATTATGGGCGGCACGATGGCTGAGTGGATCGCCTCTCAACAAGAAGGTCCTAGGTTCGAATCCCGGTCGGACCAGGGCCTTTCTGAGTGGAGTTTGCATGTTCTCCCGTGTCTACGTAGGTTTCCTCCGGGTACTCCGGTTTCCCCTACCACTAAAAATATGTCCAATAGTTCTGGCATGCACCTCCTGTTCGGCGACCCCGCTCCCATCTCTGTGTGGAGTGAGAGACAAATGCCCAAAAATAACAATTGATAACCGCTTTGTGACTCTGGCCTGAAGTGAAAGGCGGTATACAAATAAAGAATACATACTTATTTAAAAAATGTAATAACGATAAACTACTCTTCTGACCTTAATTAGAAATCTCTGTTCTCAATAACATGCATTTCTTCTTTAACATCTTTGACAGTGTGATTGTTGTGGATGAGGTTCTTTATCCTCTCTGATGGTAAAGCAATACATTCAGCTCCTGGGCTGCCTTATATTATGTGAACATTTGAGATCTCCCTACAGCGGCTCACTGCTGTTATTATTTGAAAATAGAAAACATGTTTATTTGACAATGAATGGCTTCACGTGCAACTGAGGGTGAAAAAAGTGTTGTGTTATTCATAATTTACATATAATTTCAATTGACACATCTGCCTGTATCATCAAGCACAACTGCGCATTTAAATTTTGCATTGGATTGTTCTTAATACATCTTTCACACATGCTGCAGCGGCTGTTTTTTTCCCATAAAAACTGGCATGTGAAATGAGAGACTCCAGTGATACTAAGTCTGCTTTCCAGTTGTGTCAAATGTTATACACCGGGGACAAACTGGTATAATGTCAAAGTCGGCTTCACATAACTGTATCTTTATCTTAAACCATGGGCATCAGTCAACATATAGTTTAACTGTTGTCATTACAAACTTGTGGGTCAGAGTGACTGCTGGAGGGTGGGGGTACCTGAGCATGTAGCCCCTAAGAACCCCATTGAGCTGGGGCTCTGGTGGGGGCTGCCACTGCACCATGATGGACTGGTTGGTCCTTCCACTTGCCACTATGTTCTTGGGCGGGGCACTGGGGGCTTCTTCTCGCAGCATCAGTCTGTCCAGGAGAGAACAAGAACTTTGGTTAACAAAGACTCAATTTTTTAGGAGTAGGGAAGAAGAAAGCGGTTGGTATTTTTGCAATAATTTACAAATGTGTGCAGACTTTAAAAACAGGTTGGAGCGCATATGAATTTTCTTGTTTTTTTTCATACCTGAAACATGCATGTTTCGTCTTCTCTGCCTTTTGACACACCTAAGGACTTAATGATTACTGTACATGTACATAAAACAAGTGTATCAGCCAAATGTCCAGTAATCAGTAATATTGTATTAATCAGGAATAAAGTGTAACATATTTGTTAACGGAACTATGAAGGACCAGGAAAGTTGAAAAGATGAGTGTGAAATTATGATAGTATTAGATGTTAGTTTATTAGTGTAAAAGTATATCAACCTGTCAGCAGAGGACTGCTAGTTTCAGTCCTGCAGTTAACCTACAGTTATTACAAAAGCCATTAATGCAATACAATACTTGTTCACGATATTGCAACATTTGAAGAACTCATTACAAATGCAATGAGTGTCTCCCTTTGCAGACAGAAATTGTCATGAATAAAATGAGCTTTACTGACACAATGGTTAGAGTGTTTTCTGTGCATGTGAAGTAAATATATGACCTTTATTAATATAGCACATCCCACGCACCAAGGTCACACAAAGCACTTTATTTGTCGTATTGTCCTTGCACACACAGTGATGACAGGAGCAGTCTGCTGCAGTCTCTTTGTCCATTCCTTTAACTCTCCCAGGGAGAATATAAGAGATGTAAGAGTGTTATCTCTGTGTTTAGAACACAGTCTTATACAAGACAATTGTATAAGATATGCTCCATTTTAAATAGTTTTGCATTATCCAAGAGCTTAAATCACCAGTGAAGGAAATTCAATATTTTTGATGAGGAAAACACAAGCTCATAAAAGTCAATTCTGCATAATCTATCTCCTTTAATATCGAGTTTTCTAACAAATAAGACAATCTGGAAAAAGTTTGTTTTTCTATTTCGTAAAAACATTTAGTGAGTGGGACTCATGGGAGTAAATGGTGTTGGGTGAATCCAATCAACTGATATTCTTGATTTAATTCTCTGGTTGCGCCGGCTCTGGGAAAGCCTTTGTTCACGCTGCAGTCTTCCATCTTAAGTTTTTCATTAGCTTCTCCGACTGTTACCAACGGAGACATTTTGACACGTTATCGTGATCAACATTTCTCCAGGGAGCGAGGAAAGGCGGCACAACATGTTTACAATTACAACTGCTATAGGGAATAGATAATGAACCGATGTAGTTCAGATGATGTAAAACAGATGATCATACACTCGTCTCAATGAGTTTTCTACATATTTTTCATTTGAGTGATTTTGATAAAAAAGGAACGTTCCAATTCCAGTAATAACCTGTGAAAAGCTAAGAGCAGAAATTAATTAAAAGTGATCAGAAATTATGTAAATCGTTTTTTTCTGAGAAGCTGAAGTGAAGCCATCGGAAAACCGCTTTAAATGGATCGACTGAGATAAAATATCACATTGGCTTCTGGTGGATAAAGAACTCTCCCTTGTGAGTCTGGGAACAATTATCCCCTGAAAAAGAAATTGTGAAATCTCAGTGGGATATTCGTGGTTAAATAAAGGTCATTGTAAAACATTTTTACAGTTTATATCCATTGTATGAGCGCAGAACAGTATAGAGATGCATTAAGATCCAAGCAGACCACCAGGGGGCAGACTGTACAGCAGAAATATCCCTCAGAGCAGCTTTAAGTCAGCCTTTTGACAGTTCTCACTCACATCTGACACACGGCCTTAACCCTTAACCTCCTGACCGCCCCATATACTGTTCATCCTCCATTAAAGGCCCCGCCAAAGATCAAGAGCGTACTGTATATAGGTTTAACAGTGGAGCAGATGTTCACTTAAAGGATAGAGCTGGCTGCCACTTCTTTTTGTGGACTTATAGTATATAGGCCAAATATATGGGAGTGGGATACATAGAAGGCAAGGCAAGTTTATTTGTATAGCACAATTCAAAAACAAGGCAACTCAAAGCGCAACAATGTTCCCAACCTTCGCCATGACAAACACAGATGTAGAAAATGAAGGCGTAATCGATTGCCTATCGAGCATATATCTCGTATTCAATTTACAAAAAGGTTTACTTTTGAATGCGCTGGAAAACGGCTGCAAGTCCTTAGTACCTGTAGCTCTGAAACAGTTGTTGTTTTGTTCTTTGCAATTTTTATTTTCACTGCTTTTTTCTACTTGAGATGTTGCTGCAGTACAGTGTTTATTGTTCTGCACTTGTCCAGACCAGAGCGGAGAGGATTGATGGTCCCAACCAAGCGGATCAGGTGATCAGGTGATCCCTATATGTCAATTTTTTTATCCACAAAATGGATAGGGATATATCGATACATTGATATTTTACAGCTAAGAAACATAGAAGCTACTTGTTGTTGTATATTTTGTGTGCTTCCTGTGTGCCCTTACGACTGTCTGGTGTGTGCGCTGCAACATTGAAATATCCCCACTAATAAAGGCTCTCTTATCTCATCTCATCTTTAATGATTGCTGTATCCATTTTTTAAGGCTACTGCTCTTTTCTTGCTCATTTTTAAATGTCTGATTGTATTGTATGATTAATTAAGTGGGGCGACAGTTGCTCAGTTGGTAGAGCATGGGTTCAATTCCCACCTCAACACCTTCTCCACCGACTCCCACTGCTGTCATTGTGTCCTTGGGCAAGACACTTAACCCCACTTTGCCCAAAGCCCCTGCTGAAAGATCAAGGCTCTGCTCACACTTACAGAGCAGCTGTCCTCCTGTGGACTCACCACCTGCAGGAGGATCAGTGAGGGGCTGGGGCTATGTGACTTGGGTGGCATCTCTGATTGCCACCCCCCTGACCCAGAAATGGATTAAGGGGTAGAAGATGGATGGATGGAGGGTAATTAAGTGTAATTCATTGTAAAAAAAAAAAAAAATAACAATAACGGTGGGCATAAATGAGACATATTTGTATTATATGCTGACTTTGGTCAACTGTGGTGTGATTCTGTCTAAAGTCCAGCAGCTTCTTTCAAATTCCAGAAAAAAGTTAAACACAGCAGCTGAAAACATCAACTGATGAGGCGTCAACTGGTGACCACTGCAGTCATTCCAGTAAAGATCGTTAAAAGGCAGGACTAAAGTGAAATGAGATGGAAATCACTCAATTCTTACACCAAAGTTATCCCTGTGGCGCTGTGCAGGGAGAGCTGTTCTGAGTCTGAATGCCCCAAAGAAAATTGTGCTTTTTGCTTTTCTCACAACCTTTTAGAGACATTTTTATCCAAATGTTTTATGCAAATTGGATACAAAAAATTACACTCAAAATAGATGGATGGTGTTGAGGCCAGCAAAACATGCCCGTCACTGCTAACTGTAGTCAGTATTATCTTCAAATTTGAGCATTTAAATTGAACCCTGAATACACTGAAGTCTGGATGATCAGAATTCCAGTAATTTTAGGTGGGACAGGTTACTTAAAGTTTGCTGTGTGTCGTCTTATGACAAAGGCATTTGAGCCGAGGGCAGAAATCACGCTGGGTGACATAATGCTGTTGAACAAATACACAGGTTGTAAATATGGTATAATCTCTGGCTTTATGTAGATTAAGTACAACAGCAGATCTGTGCGGGACTCTTCACACACACGCTGCTCATGGATTCAGTGTTTGGAGAGTAAACAATTCCATTATTCCCAACGCACACGCTAAAATGAACACGGCAAAGAGTTTGAACAGGGTTATAGTATAAATAAGATCTGAGTACTGCACAGCTTGTAATGATGCTAACAATTTCTTGGCTAATCATATTATTTTTTAAATAGTGTTTGTGTGCAGCCATTTACTGTTATATAAAAGTATTTAATCTAATCCACATTATAATGACAACAGAAACTAGTTTGCATCCCCAAGTTCTCCATAGCGTCTATTCCTCTTTTAACATCTATAATAGCCTGGAGTCTTTTGTGATAGTTGTGGATTGGGGATGGTAAAGCTGCCCATTCTTCTTGGCCAGATTACTTTAGTTCTTATAAATTCCTGGGCCTGAACTACCCACTTAACCTCTCCACACAAATATCTCATAATTTGAATATAGAAAACAAGAGAATAGAATATTAGTATCGAGGATAGTATAGAGTAGATCAGTGGTTCTCAAACTTTTTACACCAAGTACCCTCTCAGAAAATACTTGCCTCTCCAGGTACCACCACAAATGACCAACACTATACAGTAGCGTAGTAAGCCTAAGTATTCATCAAAAACAAGGCAGGGGTTTAATTCCTAAAGAAGTATATTCAATGTAACATTTTACACAGTTTCAACAATAAGATACAAAATATAGGGGGAAAAAAACTGGACTTAAATGAATGAACTGCAAAGCCTGACTGTGAGTGATATTCTGGAGTGGGATCTTTGTCCACAGAAGGTTTGGACACTGGTGCACTTTAGTTTCTGAGGCTTGGTCTGCTGCCCTCTTATATCTGTCGTTTACTCACAGAGACATGTTCATATGGTTTGGATCAAATGATCTTTTGTTGCTCTCTGTTCCTTTTGCACAGAACTGGGAAAAAAAGCTTTTGTATTTGCTGCTTCTTCTACATGGAACGTGTTACAAAAAGACTGGAAATTATCTGAACTTATTTCCTTGAATGCTTTTAGATCCAGATTGAGAGACTGAGACGTCCTCATTGAAATGTAACTGTTTTTATAATCCGTAATTTTATGAACTTGTGTGTGACTGTTTCATAATCTGTAATTGTATGTAATTTTTGTACACGACTGAAAAAGAGGTTCTCATTGACTGCCAGCCATTGTTGATGGCTTCACTGATTTTCAAGACTCACAGAATATTGTGTGCTATGACTATGAATAATATGAAACCAGAGTCTGAAAGACAGGACTGTCTACTTTCAGCAGCAAAAATAATGTTGTTTTTAGTTTGTTTCGTTCTCCTGT